TGCTGGGTGGAGCTTGGAAACAGAGTAGGTGAATAGTAAAACTGGAAAAATAGTCGCTATAGATTGTTGGAGAAGACGGTCTCCCATTGGCTAGTTCTGGAGTGCGGATTTGGTGACTAAGCCCCTCCTAGCCATTAGATCTGGACACTTCAATCCAATGGTTAAAAAGTGGGAAGGGCTATTTAATTAATGACAGGGGTAGTTTGGGTATTATGAAAAATTACGAAGTATACAAACCGGATTTACAATAAGTACAAACCATACAAACATACGAACAGTACAAACTAGAGCGACAAAACATACAAACAGATTTACAAACATTACAAACGTATGAACTGTACAAACAATACAAACTAGACCGACAAACAATACAAACCATACAAAAAGAAAAAACAACCGGGTTGACTTTTGAGGCTCCATCCCTATATAGAGGGGCTCCTTCCCAAAGTCAACCCGGGTGTTTTTTAGACATACAAACAGTACGAACATGGTGGACAAAAATGACAAACTAGACCGACAATCCATACGAACTGGAAAAAACACCCGGGTTGACTTTGGAGGCTCCATCCCTATATAGAGAAGTTTCATCCAAAAGTCAACCAGGTTGTTTTTTAGACATTAAAAACATTACAAACATGGTGAACAAAAATAACAAAGTTTACAAACATGGTGCACAAAAATAACAAAGTTTACAAACATTACAAAAAAACCCGACAAACATTACAAAATAACGAAGCATACAAACATTACAAAATATGTCAACAAACATTACAAAATCAGCACTGTCGCCGGGAAATTCTTCTCCGGCGACCGTCGCCGGAAAAATTTTTCCGACCAGAAATCTCTCTCTCTCTCTCTCTCTCTCTCTCTCTCTCTCTCTCTCTCTCTCTCTCTCTCTCTCTCTCTTGGAACAATGGCGGGTTAGGGGGAGAAGAATTCTCCTGCCCATGAATTTCTTGGACGGAAACGGCGTCTCCTTGCCCGGAAATTGGACGGAAACGGCGCAAGGAAAGGGGCCGAAATTTGGACGGAGACGGCAGGCGACGCAAAGGGACGGCCGGACGGGGACGAGCTGGGTTAATTTTTTTATTTAAAAATTAAATAAACATGTAATTACTACATTACCCTTCATTAAATAGAATTAACAAGAGCCTTTGGATTTTAATGAGGTTGAGTGGCTGAGATTCACTTAGCCATGTGACTAAGGGGACCCCTCTTAGTCACCTGATCTTACCCCCTAGTTCTGTGTCCTCTTGGTGTGTGCCACGTGTCCTGCAACGACGTCTCGATAGCTGACGCGCTTATAACTCATAAATGAGATTAAGACGCAATGTATCGAAAACATAATTTGTTTGTTTATTGATTATCGGGTTAATAAGTATATATTTTAGAAAGTCTAGTTTAGAAAATCTAATAAGTAACCCTAGCTACAACTAACGACTCTGCTGATTTACCCTAGCCGACTCTACATTGTAAATGAACAAAAACACATTCGGCCACTAATCCTAACCCACGACTAGGCCCATGACAACCCTACGTAGACTAACTACCCATTAACTCTGCACTAACAAATTAACAATTAAAAAAACATAAACGTACTTGACCTAAAATCCCAAATTACCCGGCTCAAGATAGGGTGCATAACCCATGGTTATGCACCCATCAATAACCAAATCTGGACCCTCCATTTAGAAAATCCAGATCTAAGGATGGAGAATTAAAGGTCATTTTTTTTTTCACTAGCTTTCTTAATTGATTCATATCTTTTTCGTTTTAACTCGGATTTTAATTTTTTTTGCACAGATGGAATGAGTTCATCGTGCTCTACAAAATGAGACCAATTTTCAATATTTTTTGAGGAAAAAAATATTCTGGCCTCTCGGTACCAACTGCATACCATATGGTATCTTCTTCGTTTTTCATTCGTTTTTGAAAACGTTTGCACAGCAGGGACGAGTTCATCATGATCTATTGGATCTACAAATTTCTGGGTGAACAAATTACAAGACCAAAAAATATCACACAATACCATACAATACCACCCTGGTACGGGGTGGTATTTTATGGTATCTTATGGTATACAATGTTAAAAGTCGTAAATGACAATTAATATACTTCTACTATCATGTATTCAATCATCCTACAGTCTTGGTTTGTTCATAACACCATGGTACACTTTTCAAACCATACAATACCACCCTGGTACGAGGTGGTATTTTATGGTATCTTATGGTATACAATGTTAAAAGTCGTAAATGACAATTAATATACTTCTACTATCATGTATTCAATCATCCTACAGTCTTGGTTTGTTCATACCACATGGTACGCTTTTCAAACCATAGGAATGCTCTTATTTCAATACCAGTCAATACCATATGGTATAGACTGGTAAAAAATGGCTCAATTTTTTTTGCTCGAAAAATATATCAAAGTGTATATCATTTTGAAGAGCACAATTAATCTGATCTAACTGTGCAAACAAAATTAAATTTCGACTTAAAACGAGTGAGAAATCGTCTTTCAAAGATTAAGGAGGAGAAAATTAAAGGCTTTCCAGGAGAGAGAGGATGCTGATGTCATGCTGATGTGGGCGGGTTACTCATAGTTACTCACCATAAGGTTACTCACCTTATCCATTCCCAAATTACCCAACTTCATCAGAAGTGGCAAGCTTCAACACTTCAAGCATATACAACTCTTCTACTAACTCTGCCTCCTTCAACTATTTCTCCATCTCCCAATTCAGCCATCCAATCCAGACAACATATCCTTAACTCCTTTGAGAAAGAGATAATGAGAAGTGTGATGCAGCATGAGAATGACGTAACTCTTTGGGACAAGAAAAGGTTTGGGCTCACTAATGCAATCAAATTGGCTAATTTAGATGATAAATTTCATGATTGTAAACAAGGGACTTGATGTAGAAAACACAGGTGACAATCATATATGTGCCTAAGGTCGTATCCCTCGAGGTCTTCTAATGCATATATAACTATTCACAGCAACCACCATGACATACACAAACTGAACAAGTAATAAGAAGAGTAAAGTTGTTATCCTCGAGGTCTTTAATTATTTTTTAGCATTCTTAATAAGTAAATTTAAAAGAATCTTTAGTTTATTATTAGTATGATTACTACTATACTCTAAGAGCATCTAACATTTGTCCCTTTTTAGATTAAATTAGGTTATGTCATCATACTTATTTAGTTATTTTCCCTACACAATCATTTATACGAGATCTTGGTCAATAGACCGTGATGGTCTCTTAAATCAAAATTCCTCCATAATTTGTTAATTGTCTCAATAAAAACATCAACACGCTTTATTCATGAATGCTAGTATCAATCCTTAAACGCGAAGAAATAGTATGTGTTCAGTTTTCTTTTTATAAAAAAAATCAATTAAGATCGAACTACATGGACTTTAGGCAACCAATAGATTACGGTCCAACTAACAAATTTTCTTTACTTTTAAAATAATCCTACTCTAAACAAATTGAATCGTACAATTAAATATGCATAAATAAAGCCAAATAACAAAACACCAAACCCTTTAAAAACTTGTTGATTTAAGCAGTATCAATTTAACGCATTGTGGAATACACTTCCTCATAACTTACCTTACTATTGAACTCAAAATCCTAAAATTCATAGACTAGGTCACGGTTTTCAACACCTAAAGTTACAATTGAAGAAGAGTGTTTGATCCACTACATGTATGACCGATGGCACCTCCTAGCATGACGCCATCGGCCCCCGATTTTGAGGGATGGTTGCTACAGTATCACTCTATATATCATGACAATATGACAGTAATAATGCTATGGCCATCACATGTTTTAGAGGAATAAATTTTTCTCAAAATATAACAAAATATATATTATTATTTATATCAATGTTAATGTGTTCTTTCTAATTTCTATGCCAAAAATTAAATTTCGAGTTGAAACGAATGAGATTTAAACATATTTAGAAGATATGAGAATATAAAAAGTAAATTTTGAGTGGTCAAAAATATCTTCAAAATAAGGCTTAGAGCGTCAGTTAATTATAATGTAACCTTATTTTCTTTACATTTCCATTTCCATTACCTCTTGCCTTTGTTTTCTCTATCTTTTTCATTGGTAAGCAGTTATGATGTTGACTTATGCCCTTTTCTTGTCTGTTTCATGCAAAAAAAAAAATCTGACAGATATTAAGAAAAAATGAGAATATAAAAAGTGAATTTTGACTGGTAAAAAATATATTCAAAGAAAAAGGCTTAAAACGTCACTTAATTATGATGTAGCCTTATTTTCCTTACTTTTATATTTTCTCTTACCTTTTTTCTTTCTCTATCTTTTTCATTGGTAAGCAGTTATGATGTTGACTATGTCTTTTTCTTGTCCGTTTCATGCAGAAATTTTTTCTGACACATTAAGAAAATATGAGAATATATAGAGTGAATTTTGACTAGTCAAAAATATCTTAAAAGATAAAGGCTTAAAAGGTCACTTAATAATGATGTAGCCTTAATTTTTTTTACTTTTCCATTATCTCTTGCCTTTTTATTGCTAAGCAGTTATGATGTTGCCTTAAGTCCTTTTTTTGTCCGTTTCATGCAAAAACTTTCTTCTGACGCGTTGAATCGTACAAGACTAATTTCTTATAAATAGCACAACCAAACCCAAAGACAATCAAATAACTGAGAAAACATAAAACTAAAATATAGAACTACCTCTCTCCTCTTCGATTTTCCAAAGACATGGCTAAGTCTTCAGTACTATGCTTCTTGTTCTTCCTTCTGGTCATCTCCTCCTCAGGTAAAATTGATTAAGACAAATATGAAACATATGAAAAAGAATCAGAGTAGATGAATGTATATTATTAATTCATTTATTTCCTACATAAATTACTTATACTTGTGTGATTATTATAAAGGTGGTGCAAAGATTGTAGCGGAAGCTAAAGACTGTGGAGCGACATGGGATTGCACCACTGAAAAACGCTGTTGGGATGACTGCAGGAGTCGCTACGGCGGAGAAGGGCATTGTGACTATCGCACTCATCCTTTTGTTCCTAGGCAGTGTAATTGTTCTATTAAATGTTGAAGGGGAGAAAAAATATCCATTATCGATAAGTTTTACCAATAAGACAAATGTCATTAGTAATAATATATATGGTAACTGGTAATACCAATGTGTATGCCTGTGTTATGGTTTTATCACAAACCTTTTCTTCAACTCTTCCTGAAGAGTTACGACATTCTCATGTTGCATCCCACTTCTCCTTATCTCTTCTCAATGAAGTTCAGAATCCAACACAAAAAAGAGTGGAACAAGCATCCCATGAACCATAATTAGGGTCACCGAGATCTGAAATAGGGATGGATCCATCGATAAACCAAATCTTATGTTTAGTTTTCAAAGTCATTCTAATTGCTCGCTGCCACATCTGGTACTCTATACTATCTGGTTACCAAACAAACATATCTTGACGCCTATTTGTTGTTATTTTTGTTGTTGTTAGATTATGCTTGATTGCAATTCATGAGTACGAAATTTTATGGCACCTGCACTCAAGGGAATTCCATTAGTAGATCGAGGTGGTGGAGTTGTTATCATCGAGGTCACTTGATTTGTTCCAAATTTGATACAATATAGAGAAGCTTTGAGAGCTAGGATTATGAGAAGGAAGAAGAAGGTTGGATTTTTCTCATTCAGCTATGAGCCGACCCTCTTTTATTCTTCTACTATGCTTATGCCATGTGTAAGCAGATCATCAGCAGTAACAGTAGCAAGTACATAGGTGTGAGCAGAGCGAGGAATTGATGGCAGTATGAGGTACTGTCTTCAACTATTCAGTGCTTGGATGACTGCTCGGGATTTTGGCCAGTGATCCACACCTTTTTGTGAAAATGTTTTGAGAATATTTTTTTATGTGCATACTAGCTTCTGATGTAGTGTGAGCTATCCACAGGTGTGGAAAGTTGATGATATGTGTATATATGCGTGGTCGTGTACGTTGTGAAGATTATGACATGTAAAAGTATAGTATGCAGTTATAGAGTATGAAATTTTGACTATGACTATGAAAAGCCAATGTATATGGTTGTGGGTATATATGTATGTCTATGAATGCAGAGATTCAAATAAAATATTTTACAGGTTTAGTTGCAAGAACTGTTAGCCCACTACGCGAGTAATTCGTACAGAATTTTAATTTGGATAAATTTTGGGAATTATTGTAATACCCAAGTCAAATTCCGCTCAATTGCATGAACAAATTGATTAGGTAATACTTACAGGATAGGGTGTTATACACTGATTGATGATGTGTCACGAGTTTATTATTTTAATTACTATTGTTATTTGAGGATATTCAATGGAATTTTAGAGAATTGGGAGATTATTGAAAATATTAGAGAGATATGGGATTATTATAGTAGTTGATAGGAGCGGGAGACTATAAGTCTACCTTGATTGTCATTTTGGAGTAATTGAAAAATAAACAATCAAATTAATCAACGTCCCAATTTCCCTCTCTCTATCTCACGTCCAAACCTCCTCTCTCTCCCTTCTGTTCGTCCACCACAAACACCAACCCACCCACAATTCCCATCATCACACGTCCATATCATAGCCAAAAGGAATGTAGGAAGAATCATACATTTTGCAGGAAGTACAGATGATGTAGAGCATGGTTGGGTTGCACTAAGGTCTGAATTGGCTGGTGAGTTTACCTTTGTTTCGTTGTCCATCATGGAGGAACAAGAAGAGCCCCAAGCTTGAAGGAAAACAGGACTGCAAAGTGTTGTTTGCACTTTAGGAAGAAAGTTACAAAATAGTACACACGAAGTAGTTAATTGGTAGCAGCATTGGTTGCTGGTCTTTTTACTGGCGGGGTGTTGTTACTACTGCTGGTCTTTTTACTGGTCGAGTGTTGGTTTGCTACTGTTAGCCATTTCCATGTCTCTCATTTTATTTGTGTTGTTTTCTTTATTTAATTGGGCCAAAGAAGAGCTTCACTAGTATCGTTTAGTTAAGTAGCTAATAGCTAGTTTAGGAGTCATAGATTTTGTAAACAGTAGAACCTTGTGCAAGCAAAGCTCAAGTTCTCAGAGCACCAAAGAGTTGTAACACATTTATTCAATGATAGAATCTGGAAATGTTCACACGAAGATATCACTCAGACATACAACATATACAGTTGCAGTTTGTATCTATTCACAGAAATCAGCAGGTATTACAACTCTATCATAACATCTTCGAGATTTCATTGGTCTCTGAGACTCCAATGACTTTATTGAAACATACAACATATATATTGCAATTTGCATCTATTCACGACAAATTCAACTAAGTGCTACAACTCTATCATAACATCATTGACACTTCACTGGGGACGGAGATTCCAAGGACTTAATGTATATGTCGGACTGGTTCACTTCTAGCCTTGAAATGGAAGATTGGAAACCACATTCAGCACCCATAAACCATACATTGCAACTATTCTAGAATTTACTTGAAATTTTCAAACATAAACGTTATTTTTTGCTCTTTCTCATGTAGCAGTAATAATATCTGCAGCAATCATAAAAGATCATGAGATACATATTGCACTTAACTACTGATCGAAATATCCAAAAATGAATTGTTTCTTGATGAATAAAACTCAGTAGGTAGCAAAACTCAGCAACCATGAGAGAAAAGTTCAGAACTATGAGAAAGAAATTGGATGTGTCTAATAGGAATGGTAATTTGTGATGAGGAGCTCATAAGAAGAAGCTGGTTGAAGAGTGTTTTTAGGAGTTGCCATTTTTCATAAATTTCCAAGTCTATGAATGAACCAGTAGAACTAGCATGCAAGTAATTTAATTGGAGAATGAATGCATACTTTAAGACTTCATGGAACCACACAGATCAAGCAAATCGACTAACCAAAATACATAGCTAATAAACAACCCGGATGGGTAATATGTAGACTTGCTACTTACCTGTACAACAGACTACTCTTATTTCTTCTTCTAGCTTGAACATGTCACTTGACTATTGTTTACTTATAAAAAAATCAGATTGTACTACATCGATTAACTACAAAAAATTTAATGGACATAAGGTTAGCTCAACATTAATAATTAAAAGAGCTAGCTGGGCTTTGTTGGGTTGGGTGGGTGCCAAACACTTGGTACCAAGCCGGGTACTAAAAAGGGGTCATCCAAAAACTAAGTATGAAAACAAGGCGTCACGACAGGAGCTGACAAGACTGACTGACAGGCCTGGTACACAAACATGAAATTTGGTGAAGTATGGAGCCAACGGGGTACCAAGCCAACAAGACAAACGTTGTAGCAAGGCAGGCTTGGTACCAAAAGACATGAAAAGCGGCAAGGTACCAACTAGATGAAGTTCTAATAACTAAGTATGAAGATCAAGCCAACGCTGTAGGCTTGGTGGCGGGGCCGATATGGTTGGCTTGGTAGCCTGGCGTACCAAATACGAGACATGGTGGTACTAAGTCGGCATCAATGGAGCTAAGCATGGAAGAATCATCAAGGTGTCGGGGTCGTCAAGAAGGCTTGATGGGAGGGAGGATGTGATGGAGGAGAGACAAGGAGGCAGTCGACATCAATGGAGCTAAGTATGGAAGAATCATCAAGGTGTTGGGGTCGTCAAGAAGGCTTGATGGGAGGGCGGATGTGATGGAGGCAAGACAAGGAGGCTCCAACCCTTTATAGTCAAGACGAGGCATCAAGATAGACCTCTACTCATCAAGCCTGATGCCAAGCCAATTAGATGACAGTTACCAACCAGTCAACACCAATGCGGCGACAAAGGATCCCTTAGGCGGTTGGAGCAACAGGCCGGCTAGCAGGTACCAGGGCGGTTACCAAAGCAATTATACCTAGTGGCTATAAATAGGGAAAACGAAGAAGAAGCAAGGGTTCCACAACCAACCAGTTGACGCAGAATGTCAAACTTTTATCTTTTCTCTGCAAATAAGCCATAGCCTTAGTTTTTGGAGCTCTCACTAAACCTCTATAGGAGTAGGTGTAATTAACATAGTGTGTTCCCAAAAAATCATCAAACATGAAACACCCTGTTTCGAACATTGTGCGGAGAGGTGTGAACCGTGTTTAGAATCGTTGTTCAAGAAGTCAAAGGTTCAAGCATTAATTCAAGCACAAGAGTTTTCCTCGCCGGAAAACAAATTGACACACCCAGTGGAACACTTGTTTTTGATTTGATGGCTCCGAGACAGAGGCAACAAGAAAGTGATATTTCACCAGGAGTTGTGAATGAGTTGGCGGCCATGTTCAAATTTGGCCAAGCAACAGAAATTGTTGTCGGAAACAATGGCATGATTAAGATATTGCCACCGCCGGCACCTTGTGCCGATGTAACCGCCACTGCCATGTCACTCCGCTCAATTGTGGATGGTAACCGCAAGATGGTGGTGGAGAACCGTCAAGTGATGGTGGAGATCTGTCGATTGATGGAAGAGAGCTTGAATGGACTTGTTAGAAGTTCACAACAAAAAAGTTTAAAACTTGCTTCTTTTAGTTCTACCTTAGATAGACGTTTGGATCAATCATTTGAAGCAGTGATAAAAAATAAAAATTGTTTGGATAAATTTTAAAAATATTTTATAGAACTAGTGATGCAAGAAACGTCTTTACCGAAAAATGTTATAGATCCACCACCAAGCATTGCTACTAGGGATACAAGTATTCTAATCTCCGGTGGCCGAACTATCCAGCCACGACCCGAGAACTTGCCATCACCGGCCATGAGTCAACCAACTATTCAACTTGAGGGTTGGGGCAATAAATTCTCCCCCACATTCATCACCCACGTGGAGAAATCGCTTGTGCGGGCAGTTATACAAGAAAATTTCTTGGTATCTAGATCATGTATGACACATCGTAATGGGAAGGCTAGTGGAGATCAAGTCAATCTAGATCAACTACCGCCACAAACTTATCCACCGCCGTTTCCACTCTTACTTAATGAGCATGGTAGATGCCAACCGCCATGGGGGCAGCAAAGAGGGCATGGAAGCCTACCATGTGACAAGTTAAAGGTGAAATGTCAGACTGGAGGTGTGTTCATGTCTGAAAAAATAGAAAATGTGATTTGTCTAAGGACTCACCACAATTTTCAACTAAGTGTGGGAAGAAGGACATGTCTCCGGATCCATGCAGTGGGCAGGGGGCATGTCATCAAACGTGAAGAATGAAGTGAGTGACAAGTCTAAGCGGGTGTTGCTTACCCATGCCACCCATGATTTCCAGAACTTTGACAGCTTGTCAAAGAGTGGACAAGGAGGCAAAACCCATCATAGCATGTCAACCATGAATGGTCGACAAGGGGGCATGTCCTCAACCACAAATAGTAGACAAATAGACGTGCCCAAGATGCCACAACAAAACCAAGCAACACATGCTTGTAGTAAGCATGATAGTGTAGCTAAGTATGGCAAGGGGGCATGCCATCGATTACAAGCAGTGAGTTGACAATTTTGCCCAAGAAGCTACAACAAGCACAAGTCACATGTGTTTCTAAAAAAAATGCTAGTGTGACTAAGTGTGGCAAGGGGGGGGGGGGGCATGTTTTCAACCTCATGCAGTATAGTAGGGGGCATATCATCTACCGTAAAGAAATGAGTGGGGGGCACTTCAACAACCACAACTAGTGGACTGATAGGTGTGCCTAATAATTCACAACATGAAGCCACACATGCTTTTAGTAAGCATGCTAATATGACAAAATCTGGCAAGGTGGGCACGTCAACAACCATGAACAATGGTATGGGGGACATGTCTCCAACTAGTGGACGAGGGGTCATGTCTCCAACCGTGAAGAAAGTTGTGAGGGGCAAGCCTTGGAGTGTGGAAAACAATCAAGCAACCACAAGTTTCATAGCTACGAGAGTGTGTCAATGGGTGTCCAAGAAGGCAAGTCCATGCCTAACAACCCCCATGACATGCCTACCATGAATGGCAGGCAAGGGGGTTTGAAAAGAGTGAAGTTGGCCACATGGGTGGTCATCAGTTCGTTAAACCCAAATACTCATCTTCTCAACCATATGGGAAGAGTAAGCATGTGTCAAGTTGGGGGAAACTAAGGCAGAAAACAAGTGGTGGTCTCTTTGATGAGTCAAAAGAGTTGAGAATGCCTAGTGTACCACGCGGAAAGAGGCAAGCACATCAGGTTGAATATCAACCCAACATGTCTAGTAAGATGCCTTAGGCTGAAGAGCATGAGACGCCTTGCAAGCCCACCAAGACAAGACAAATTGATCGGGTACCATAAGTTGTGGAGTTGGAAAATTCGAAACCAACATCAAAGGAGTGGTCTCCCCTTAAAAAGGAAAGACATGTAGTATATGGATGGTTGGTATGGTTTGATTCATGGACTAATATGATATTTCATATTAGTAAGACTTATTCATAATTTATATTTTTTCTTCGCTCTCAACATTTATAAGAGCAAAGGCACTGCTTAGGCACAAAAGGAGTAGGGATAAGGTCACAAAGTCCTTTCCCGCCGTAGCGGCTCTTGCAGTCATCCTAGCAGCGCTCCACGGTGCTGCAATCCCAAGTCATTAAGCAATTTTTAGCTTCCGCTACCATTTTGTGTCCACCTTTTCAATAAGCACACAAGTATAAGTAAGTGTACATAAGGAAATAAACTAACAAATAAGATCCGTCCATATACATGATTGATTCAAAATAGAATTTATGAAATTAATTAGAGCGGAATGCAAAGAGAGGCCAAGAAGAACAATCAAAAAATATTTATCATTGTTCTATGACTATTATAATATACTTTTTTGTGGTACATATACCTAATTTTTCCGTAATGATTGTAAGAAGTTTACCTAATGAGACGATAAACAGAAGGAAGAACAAGAAGCATAGTGTAGAAGACTTGGCCATATCTATGGAAAACTTAACAGGAAGGATATATATATATGGTTATGTCTTCGGTGCACTCACTTTTTTGGGTGCATTCAATGCACCCGCCTCATAATCGTCATTCTGAGCAGGCGATTCATGTGAAAACGATGTCAATCATCACTTGTGGTATGATGAACAAGAACCACATGAATTTGTACAAAAATCATTCAAGATTCACTTTAATTTGAATGATTCAGGGTTTAGGAATTTAGGGTTAGGGTTTATAATTTGGGATTTTGGGTTGAGATTCAAAATTGAAGGTTAATAGGTTAGGGTAATGGGTTGATTAGTTTGGATTCTATGTTATATCATCATATTGGACTAATACAACCCATTAAATTTCAAAATTTAATGTATTATGACCACTTTTAGAGGTGATGCACTGAATGCACCCAAAAAAGTGAGTGCACCGAAGTAGCCACCTATATGGTTATATATATATTAGTTTTGTGTCCTCAGTTGTATGATAGTCTTTGTAATGTGGCTTTGCTATTTATAATAAATATTTCTTGTACTATTCAACGACTCAATAGATATATTGGCATAAATAGTAGAAGGGCATAAGGCAACATCATAATTGCTTACAGAAAAGATGGAGAATTATAACAAGACGGAAAATATGGAGAATGAAAAAAAATAAGGCAAGATATTAATGTAAAAATAAGGGAGATAAGGAAAATTCATAATTATTTTCTTTTGTCTGCTAATATCGTCCTAGCATGCTAATAGTGTAGTCAAGAAGTAAATGTTAGCGGATTTGTTCGGTAACAAAACTTGGTTGCATGTTGATCAAATAAATTTAATGGGTATACCTCTTTTTTCAAGTTAGAATTAAAAAAAAGTATTTTGTAAAAAAATCAAATTAATCGTGCTCTTCAAAGTAACATCAACTTTGATAATATTTTAAAACAAAAAATTTGAGACTTATATTACTAGTCTGTACTATGGTGTTGATGCTTCATAGTATATAAGATTATACCATGTTGATCAAATAAATTTAATGGGATATACTTCTTTTGTTTTAAGTTAGAATTCAAAAAAAAATGTAAAAAAATCATATTAATCGCACTCTTCAAAGTAACATAAACTTTGATATATTTTAAAACAAAATTTTGAGACTTTATATTACTAGTCTATACTCTGGTGATAATGATTCATAGTATATAAGAGTATACCATGGTGGTATGGAAGTGTATCATTGTGGTATGAATATATCATATTATGGAATAGTTGCATACATGATAGTAGGAATATATTAATTGTCATCTATCATCATCTACCATCAGTTACCACCCTATACTAGGCTGGTATATTTGGTTCTAAATAGCAAAGTGCTATCCTTACTTTCTTATTTTTTAATTGATTAGTTAGTGGCATGAAGTGAAAACACGCATTAACTAATTGATGACATTCACATTAAAGCGTTGATCAATCCTAAGATAGAGATTGAGTGTTTTTTTGTAGTATTTTACGTCATTTGGTGTTATGTTGTGCATTTTAGGGATGTAATACAGTCTATAGGAGTATGGATCACCATACGGATTAGAAGGAAGACGAGAATACAAGCTCATAGGTGCAAACATAGATGGACTTGGACTTCAAATGCTCATTTGATGGCCTAGAGAACCATATTTATGAAAGCTTAAGGGTCAAACGAAGCCAAGCGAATTGAAATTGGAGGAGCAGCTCAATAAGCCCATGATGGAGTCGTCCACTAAAAATCATCCCATTTGGAGGAAGGAATGTCACGGCAGTGGTGATCGTTGTTGGGCCGCGCTGGTCTAGGTCCATTGAAGATTATGCAATATGCTATACTTCGATCCCAAGTCAAGAAATTCGCATCTCAATGGTATAAGGACTCTTTTGGCCGCCTTTTAGGAGGAAATCCCTAGAATATCCCTTCTTCTATATACTATAAGTAGAGACTCAGGCTTTAGCTTTTACACACACTCTACCCTAGTGAGCTTGAGTTAGCAACCACAGGAGAGGAGAGATTCTGTCAGAGCAATGAAGATGCCTTCATCTTCAATGGTGGTCTAATCGATCTCCTATATGGCCATTTAAGTCGTTCATTGTTTAGGAATGAGAATTATATGATGCTTAATGCATATATTGTCTTTGATTTAATGAGATGTTTTAGTCATTGTTTATGTATGTTATTATATGCTTATATCATTGGATGCCTTATACATTTATTTGATGCTTTGTTGTTAGAATATCTTAGCTTTAAGATGCCCTAACATTCATAAGTCAAGCATACACATTTTGGTTACCATATATGTAACTATGACATTTTTATTATTATTAAGACTTATTCATAATGTATATTTTTTTTCCTCTCTCAACATTCATAAGAGCAAAGGCACTGTTTAGGAACAAAAGGAGTAGGGATAAGGTCACAAAGTCCTTTCCCACCGTAGCGGCTCTTGCAGTCATCCCAACAGATATCTGTAGTGTTGCAAGTCCAAGTCTTCAAGCAGTGTTTAGCTTCCGCTACCATCTTATCTCCACCTTTTCAATTAGCACACAAGTATAATTAATTGTATGTAAAGAAATAAATTCACAAATAATATGCATCCATATACATGATTGATTCAAAATAAAATTTATGAGATTAATTAGAGAAAAAAGCAAAGAGAGGTGAAGAAGAACAAATAGAAAATATTTTATCATTGTCCTATAATTATTATATTTTAGCTGGTACATTCACCTATTGTTTTCATTATTATTGTAACAAGTTTACCTAATGAAACGATGAACAGAAGGAAGAACAAGAAGCATAGTGCAGAAGACTTAGCCATATCTCTGGAAAACTTAACAGGAAGGATATTTTCTATATTTTAGTTTTGTGTCTTCTCCGTTGTATGATAGCCTTTGTATTTGGCTTTGCTATTTATAAGAAAAATTTCTTGTACTATTCAACGTCTCAATAGATATATTGACATGGAAGGTAGGAGGACATAAGGCAACATCATAATTGCTTAAAGAAAAGATGGAAAATTTTGACCACATAGAAAAGATGGAGAAAGAAAAAGAAATAAGGCAAGATATTAATGTAAAATAATGGAGATAAGGAAACATCATAACAAAAAAGGTTAGGCTCCTAATATTTTTTTGTTAACATGATGCTAATACTAGTTTCAACCAATAGAAATATTTTGTTTATATGACTTTTCAATATTAATAAGTTGACCACAATTAATAAGGCTGAAAGCCACTAAGGGGCACACTGGTCATTAATTAAAAATTCGGGGAATGAAACTCACATGTATTAATTTGGGGAAGTGATGCATTAATTAGGGTAGGAGATGGGGACCACCAAACACATATCACAAAAAACCACACACGTTAGAAAGGAAACCACAACCTTACCACACCATAAACTCATGAAGCAAACCACAAATCACATGGAACACACTACAAATAAGTATACCATAAGTCCCATAAAGCACGCCACAAGTTTGTTGCAGCAAACCACAAGTCACATGCATGAAGCACACCACAAGTAAGCATACTACAAGTCTCATAAACACACACCACAAGTTTGTTAAAAAAATATGATCGATTCATTCCATGCAAGTCATTGTCAGTACTTTGCACATATCGATAACTATCCCATTCTAGACCAAGTTTAACCTATAATGGAGTTGTCATATAGTGGCAATCAAGGTCGTATTTACTCGGGTCCTGGTACCATAGCCTACTTCCTACGTTGTTGTTATCTGGTCGACTAGTTTAAGGGGTTGTGTTGGAGGATTTGAGTGAAATAACTAGTAGGGAGAATAAACAAGGATAAAAGCAGGTGCATCGAGGAACTAACACTCGCCCTAGCCTAGGTCTATCATGCAAATGTCTAAACATGTTGGGTTAAGCGAATGCGGTGAGTGAGCTCTTTTCCATAGGCCTTCGTGATTATCCACATGCCTTCGAGTACGCCATAACTACCCCATTGTCACCTCGGTATAGGCTCACACATCTTGGGCTTTAAGAACATAGCTCCTTTCAATGGGTACTACCCACCGTCCACACCTAGGTTTTATCTATGGTTCCATCTAGAAAGGCATTCTTGTGGCAAGGGTTCGATCGCCTCGTCCACCACAAGACCCTATTCATTCTTCTAACCCTAAATTGCCAGATGACGCATACCCGTCTAACCCTAAAACTCCATACACAGCGTAGAAGCTCAAGTAGGCTAGTAGAGAAGATTAAGGCGGCTTACCCAAGCACTATTAAAGCTAGATGAAGCATTAAAATCAACTAGACAAACACCTTCGTTCAAAACCCTATCATATTCATTCATTACTTAATAGCCCTAAAACTAGGGTTTGGAGGTTAAAACCCCTAGCACCTTAAGAGACTACTCCATAATGGAGGGAAGAAGATATATAGAAGAATTTGGGGAAGACTTGATGTCGAAGAAGATGGCTCCTCTCCTCTGGCTTCTCCTCTTCTCCTTCCTTAAGCTTCTCTCTCTGTCCTCTCTCTCTAAACCATACATTTCTATCTCAAAATTAGCTCTCGTAAAATTGGGGAAGAGGTCCTCTATTTATAGACTTCAGGAGGGCAGACAAGTTCACGGCCGAGCAGGGGGAGATTCGTCGTCGTAATCTTTCCATTTGAGCTCACGATCTTCAGGCGTCATCATTTTGTTCTTCATCTTCCGGGAGTTTGCGGGCTGACTTCACAGTCGCGATTCGTGAGTCACGGCCATGAACTTTCTCGCGGTCACGGAAGACGGTGACCGTGATTTGACTATCAAAACTTCATAACTTCTCTTGGGTGGTTTCTTCATGAAGTTCACGCCCAAGGGCTCCATTTTTGTGGGCCACGAACTGGGGTCCTCGAGCCGCGATCTTCTCTCCTGCTTCGTGGTTTGCTGTCTCGACTGAGCAAACTGTGATCATCAGCTTCCTGCCCATTTCACTACACTTGTGCCATTTTTGTACCTAATTCACATGTATCTTCTAAAGCACCCTAACATGTGTGGCAACCAAATACACTTTAACATGTGAGGAGGATAATAGTGATTCGTGGCTCAAATGTGTTAGTGGTTGGAAATGGAAGTCCATGTACTCACCAAACGCCATTGTCACTCAAATGTATCACTTTAATTCTGGATTTTAAGATATCAAAGGATATAGGAGTAGTCCTACTATCCAGCCAAAATTGCACAGCCAAGAAGTCGACATCAAAATACTTTGCAAGTCGAGTGACATAAGCTCCTCCATGAAGGGCGGTGAGTTGACGGTTCGTTTCATATCGCTTGAAGATGGATAGAATTGCCAAAACGAGGTGAAGCGATTGAGGAATATGCATGGTTTGGAAGAAAATGAAGTCTCGAGCAGTCAAATTGCCCTTGCTTCGGTTATTTCCACCCACGGACCTAACAATCACATGGTGGATTAATCGCCACTCCGGTTTCACCTCACTAGCCTTCGATATCTTGACATCCCACGGTCGATTGTTGAACTTCTTGACTTCAGATTCATAGAAAGCCTTAAAACATGGGAAGTCGAATTCCCTTGCCACGGTGGCAAAAGCTTCCGGTGAGTCAACGAAGTTTGCTAGGTAAATATCCATGGCTCTTGTAAACTCCCAAATCGACATTTGGCGGTGTTCTCCTCCTAGTTTGAATTGGATGTTGTCTTGAAGGTCGGCAGCACCTCGCATATCTTGAATAATAAGAGTGGTAATGAATTTCAGAACAAGTATCTTGTAGATGTTCTCTTGAATGGGTGACAATTTAAGCCACTCCAACTTCTGAATCTTGGAACGAATTGCATCCTCGATCCCAAGCTGTGCAAAGAGTATCCAGCTGAATACTTGAAGCCAAAGAAGTTTGGTCTTAAATTGATCGGGGACACTGCCCAAATAAAAATGAGTAAGATACTCCATGCCGCTCTAACATTGGCTTGACTTTCTTGATTAATTTCTTTCCCTTATTAGAGGGAGAGAGTGATAGTGCATTCGGTTCTTCAACAACTACTTCTTTTGATCCGAATTTGCTTTTTCTGCTTCCAATGGTTGTGGTGAGGATGAGAAGTTTGAGAACTTTCCATGTTGGAAGAACTCTCTCCACGCGTCATTCCCTTAGTCTTGTAAGGTATCCTTCAAAACAAGTAGTACAATATGTACAAACAATCAATCCAAACATCACCTACCATAAAAAAACTTCTAAATAACTCTTATCATCAATTCTCTAAGGTTCCCCACACTTGAGTGAAACTAAAGCTAGGGAGGAAGTGGGGACTTAGAGGGAGATATAGTTCAGTGGAAATGAATAATCCTAGCCCACCAATGTCTCCCATGGACTCTCATGGATACATGATTGCACCATTTGAGCCGCTCCTTGTGCATGGCATGTCGGATCTCAACATGGTTCGCCTGATCAGTGATAAACTGGGTTGGGCAAGTAGAATTAGGTTTTAGGACAGTACATGGACTAGGTGGGCCAGTTTTAATTGGACCCTTCATAGCCACCCAATCCATTAGGTCACGGGTCAAATAAAAGATGACCCAAGCCTAATCATTAAACACTTGAACCCTATGAGTTCGGGTAAGGAATAACTCAATTTTAATACATTAAGTTCAAGCTACAAATTTGAATGAAATGTACACATTTCAACTTTTCTTAATTTCTCTTTCAGGGATGTTTATCTCCCATGTAAACTACTTAAGGCATTTTAGTGCAAACCAGAAGCACTGGAACTATTGGATGTTGCTTAGTGCTCCTACTTTCCCAATGCAACGAGTTAGTCTAATTATTAACATCATTGCTTTTCTATGTATATATTTGTTGCACCTTCTATCAATTCCAACATAATTGATTAACTCTTGTGTACTATATTCGAATCAACATCATTCTCAATCGTACTTAACTATCTACTTAGCTTCTGGGAATCAAAATGTACAAATAGCATGTAGCAACTGAGCATAATTAAGGCGATACTTGTTAATTACTTATACTTCATTCTTAAAAGGGTGGTACATTTTTAGAGACTGTATCAGACCCTCCACCGATCCCGCTGCTGCGACGAGTGAAACTAGCAGACAGACCAGGCTCAAGGCTTGCAGGCCAATCCAGGAGAAGGAGAACTTAGGAACTTTCGATCGGGCGATGTACATCTCGATCGGAAAGTATACGGTCAGCGGCCAAAAGGAAACTGCCCCGATAAGTGCCAGAAAGATGTTGAAGAACGGGATTAATGTGGCCAAGACTGTGGTCACCGCCACGTATGCAGACCTCCAAACCACTCTGAACCCGTTGACGTGAAAGCTCGTTCCACCCAGAATTGGAATGGTAATCTGGTGGTCCGTCGTCACGAACTTGACCTCTGGCCACCTCTGACGACAACTCGTCTCCACGAAACTGAAAATCGGTTGTGCAAACACCTGCGGTCACACACACATATATATAATTATTAGTTCAACGAATATCTAAAAGGCAATTCATAGCGGACTATAATTTAATTTAATTGAACTGACTTGGTATGCGCCGACGAGGTGAATAGCCACGCAGACGTTGGCTACATTGAGGAGCCACACCGGATGATCGAATCCGGACCCGGAGAGTAAATCCCCCGGCGCGTCTTTTCCAAACGCCGCGTAGCCCACACAACCGCAGAGGAGGTAGAAAACGGTTGTCGTTGAGATGCCCACCAAACTTGCCCGTTTCATTGCTTTGTTCTCCGCTGGGCTCGATTTCAGGGTGTCCTGCATCCAATCCATCCAAGTCTTTTATTGATTATTCTCTAAAAAAAAATCTTTTATTGATTATTAATTAATCCTTTACTAATATGAAACGAATATTGACTAGCTATCTACTTAATTACCTGGATCTCGATCAGGACAGTGGAGTAGGCATACGCGAAGGCAATGTCGCCGATAGCTTGGCAAATCATCCAGAACCTCTCTGCCTCCGACACCATCGTTGACGTCGTTTTCGCTTCAACTCCTTCATTCAATTAAGTTGTTTCAGTAATATATTTTTACGTAACATATGATTGCCAATATCTTAATTTCTAACCTGTAACAAGTTTGGCTATGGAGAGACCCAAGCCAATAAGGGAATAGGTAAGGGACATGACGGCGGCGAGGAGGGAGAGCCACGACAGCTTGTGGAAGTTGGGCACCTGGCAAAGGATGAGCTGGATGCTGCCAAAGATGATCATGTACGGCGTAGTGGACACGTGGCACTTGTCCCCCTCGTGGAAACAACTCCATCTCCGAACCGACCTACATACATATGGTTATACATATATATTTAATTAGTTCAGTAAAGAAATGAAAGTTGCATCAATTGAACAAGTAAAAAGTTAACTAGATAGCGTACGTACGCCATGCTGATGGACGCCGTGATGGTGTAACCGACGGTGACGCCGACCAGGTTCGCGTACTGGGCCACGCCACAAAACCGGACCCTAAGCCCACCTAAATGGGCCCGGACCGCGTCCATGTAGGTGTAGTTGCGCTGGCCCGTGACAGGGTCCGGGTGGCGGTAGGCGTCGGCGAGCAGGGTGGAGGTGAAAAGGGTGATGAGGGAGAAGATTATGAGAACCGCCGGTCCGGCCACCCAACCCAGCTGGGCGATTGCCCAAGCCAGGGACAGAACCCCTGACCCAATCACCGCCGTGATGATGTGGGCGCTCGCCGTCACCCAAGTGCCTGCATTGCATACACAAGTGAATAAATGTTGTTCAATATTGGTTGGGAAAATAAGTAATTAATCAAAACAATTGTATTAAACTGGAGCTAATTATGTAAGCTTTAGCTAAGTGAGAAAGTTAAACTAGCTAATCATGATACATAATAGTAGCTAGGTGGGTTCATTAACCGTCGATTTAATTTTCTTTTGTGTCGGTCACTTTCAGTTATTCAATCTTTGAATTTGCCGACAGTTACTTTAATTTACCGTCAGTTTCCAAACCGACACTAACGTCGACAGATTCTCCAACCGTCGGCTAGAACAGACATTAAGTTGGTTAATTACTTACCAGTTCGCATCGGGCGGCCATCGTCGTCGACTGATCTGTTGGACATCTTCCTCGTAATTACTGTCTATAAAGCAGCTTCAGAGCAACGAACAATAACTGGAGCTGATTAGTAATGGCGCGGGTGATTCTAATTTGGTGTTGTGGAGAGGAAGATTAGGAATTTAGTTTAGTAACGATGCAACAGAGAGATTCAAAAGGGTTTACTTGACTTGGGTGTTTTGTAATGAGAAATCCCAATGCACGTACGTACGTTTATATAGTGCATGGCCATCCTAAAGACGTACAACTCAATTTATGAGGTTTTACGTCAAACCATTAATTCAAGAATATTGGATACGTGTAGCTAATCTCCTTGGGTGGAAGAATTGTGTAGAACACTAGTTACTTCATATAGCCAAACCAAAACTAGACGTCATGGTCCATCCTTACACCTCCAAAAGGTTGTCACTGCGAACATTTGGTTTTGGAGCAGGTGATAAACTAATTAATATGGAGTGAGTCATCAGTTCAACCACTGATAATTAAGTACACTTCAAACAACTGGGAAAGCTGATTGATCTCATAACCTGTCAAATCAACAAGGGAATCAAGGGAAAATTAGTAGGCTAACCCAGATGTTAACTAACCTATCAAATCAAGCAACTAACCTATCCAAGATATTCGCAGCTTCAATGGTGTACTCGGAATGAACTTCGGGAGCAGTTTTCCTTTGGGAATGCAAATTGTGAATTTTGGGTGTATATGATAATTTTTTTTTACTTATTAACCATTTATATATTTGAGTATTATTCATGATATGCCTTGTTAATAATATTAGTTTGTTGAGTGTTACTTTCAATATGAACATTTATTTATTTAAAATTATAATTTTTATTGCATTGATCCCGAATAAAATTATAATTTTTTATTTCACCATCAGAAGATTGATTGATATAGAAAAGAAGATTGAAAGACTATATAAACTCTCGGAGTTCACCTCTTAAGGTAGGATCGTAATGCAAAGACGAGTTATCGATTATACACCGAGTTACTTAGCCATTGAGTGCAATTTGAATTTTATGTTTATCATGTTACATTACTCACTCCATTTACTATGATTTTCAAGTTACTGTTGTACTGTGTAGGACTGTAGGTGAACTTAGAGAGTGTATAATTAGAGAATACTATGATTCTCCTCCTTGCGAAATATCCAAAAAATATATACATAATTGTCAACCGAAAACAAATAAGCTTTTAAAGGTTTTGGTTTAAAAAATTCATTGATTCAAATTTTTTTGTTCCCGATGGCTTTTTGGTTCGATTAACTGAACCAATGGTTTCTCAAGCCTGCAATCTGAGGAAGAAAACATGAGTATGGCGGCATGACCAACAAACATGAAGAAGGGGTACAAAAAAAATCCACTGCCGGGATTTGAACCCGGATTTCAAGGAAGTAGAAATTTGCCAATTTGCTACAGCGGATTATTGATTGATAATGCAAACAAAGTTATTAGACAGCCATTTCATAGGGCCTTTAAACGTCATCAAGAATTGGGTGCCAATTCTTTTCTGGATTCCTATTTACGCCCTAAATAAGCTAAACAGACAACTCTACCCCCAATAACTAAAACTAAATCTTCCAAAAAAATAAAACAAAAACGAAAATTCCCAATTCCCAAAACCCTCCGCCATTGCCAGCCATCTCCTTAAATCCCGCACCCTGCCAATGATAAATCCCTAACCCAGAATTGCCAATCCTGTCGGTCGCAGGAGACAATCCCTCTCAGCCGGGTCTTTAAATAAACTCCAATACACCAGCAACCCTTCACTCTTTCGCCGGAGCTTCTGAACCCATCTTTCCACAAATCACAAAACTCCATTTTCAATAAACTCCGATTGCATTTCTTTGATTGCATGTTGTCGGTGGAATGGTTATTCCAGGATTGCATCGCCTCGCAGCCGGCGACCTCCTCCTAACCCAGAAACGACACCACGAGACCCGATTTGTAGAGAAACGACACCACCAGACCCTCCCCTACAACACGTCGGCGACCTCTTCCATAGCCAGAAACGACACCACCAGACCCCCCAACGACACGCCGGCGACCTCCTCCAAACCCAGAATGACCCGATTCCATCCAAACCCAGAAAAATCCAGATCCGTCCTCGCTAGTCGCTTCCCCGGGATTTCCTTCTTCGTCCTTGTTGGGATGAATTCGGTTTCTAACAATCCTCCTTCCCGTCAAGCTCGCAGCGACGACGAGAAGCAGATGTCTTGCGATGGCCGGTGCGATTGTTAAAGTTAGGGCGTTGATATTGGACTAGGGGCAAACGTGTCCATATTTTAAAGCTAGGGCGATAAATTCACATTTTTAGGGCGATAAATATTAACTCCCATTCTTTTTATCCAGTAACAATATATAGCAGTCTTCTGGACAAAAATCAACGTAAATTTGGAAAAGGGTCAATCACTTATGACAAACGATTGATCATATGGTATATTTTGCTTTAGGGTTGAAAATTGCTATGAACTGTTTGTGACATGTCCCTGATCCTGTTGCTCACATTGTCTGACCTGTTCTTTAAAAGTCAAGATATATAATTAACCCGTCTCGTCACTGTCTTCTTCTTGATTCTGTTTGATCCTCAAGGGTTAGGACGGGTTTGGAAGGAGACCAATGGGTCGACACTATTTTTTTAAAATTATAATTTGGTACCCAAATTTATTTTTTTTTCTTGCAATTTAGTACCTAAATTTTGTTTTTTACAAATAAATCCATAAATTTTTATGGTAAAATTATATTTTGGTACCCAAAAAATTTTATGTTTACAATTTAGTACCTAAACTTTTAAAACTTTACAAGAGGTTCAATGTGATATGAGAAATTTGTTGTTGCTAAGTGCCACAGGGTCAAAAAGTGACACATTCTAAGTTGTCCCATAAGGTCAAAACTCAAAAGTTGATCCGACCCTAAACTGACGTCGAGACGAGTCAGTGGGGTTTTATGATCAAACTTACACCCCTACTTTGTTTGTTCCGACTATTCTCCATCATTACAAGTAAAATAATGATCTATTATGGGTTGGAGCAATGAACTTATTTGGACGGTATCTGGGAAATAAGCATCGGCTAACTCTGTTGGAGGGTCCTATTAGATATTGTTACTTTTTCTCGAACCATAAAAAAATCCAATAAAATTTCTTTCTTGAACAAGGAAAATAATGATCTATAACTTCAAGAGATTGATTGGTCATCACCTTATCATTGTTGGAACAAGATTTCACCACTAAAAGCATTTTCAGTATTGCAATGGTACTCCACTATTAGAAAGAAAATAATGGTTGCCGCTACAATTGAACGGTCGACTAGTTAACTGTTATGTCATTAGAATTGGAACAAGATTCTACAACTAAAAATGTTTCAGTTTAAATAAGGACTTTGCTATCATTTAACCCTAGTTGAATGGAACAAAAAACCTATAAATTATCTATACATTATTGGTTTATCACTCTAAAGCTGTGTAAACAAATTTTTGTGATTTTGGAGCCTGGTGAAAAAGGAAAAATGTCAAAACACCAAAGTATTTGTCCGTGAAATACTAGTAAATCAAAAGGATGACCATGGGGCAAGGGGAGAAACATAAACACTGTAATAATCGAACTTTTCACCATAAGGTCAATCAAAGAATCTTAGCAGTCAACCTCTTCTCTGTTTGTGGTCTTTTAATGTATATGAATTTATTTTTAGACAATGGGGCATGGGGAGATACAAAAACACGGTAATGATTTACTTTCGAAAGAGATGAAAACTACACAAATAGACGATGGAGTTTCATAGTGATTTCAAGAAGTACCATAAGTACATGCATGATACATATAAATTTTGGATGGTTCGATTAAAAAATGTCACTGAAATGATGCGTGATGGAAGCGTTGGGCCTAAAATTTCACGCTTCAAAAACAAGGCTAATGTCTCTATTCCTGTAACAGATTTATTACCCATGTTTTGTCAAGAGTGCTACACTCGACTGCAATGAAGAAACCTACAGCTCACCAAAAAAAAAAAAAAAAGATTCCGCTGCCGGGAGTTGAACCCGGATTTCAAGGAAGTAGAAATTTGCCAATTTGCTACAGCGGATTGATGATTAATATTGCAAACAAAGTTATTAAATATTTCTTAGGGTCTTTAAACGTCATAAGAATTGGGCGCCAATTTTTTTATCCAGCAACAGCATATAGCAGTCTTCTGGACAAAAATCAACGTAATTTGGGAAAAGGTTGATCACTTATGAGTTATGACAAACGATTGATCATATGGTACACCTTAGTTTGTTCCAACGATTCTCCAGGAAAATAATGATCTATAACTCCAATAGATTCGTTGGTCATTAACTTCTCAGTGTTGGAACAAGATTTCACTACTAAAAGCATTTTTAGTATTGCAATGGGACTTCACTATTAAAAAGAAAATAATGGTTTCCGCTACAATTGAACGGTCGACTAGTTGACTACTATGTCATTAGAATTGTAACAAGATTCCACCACTAGAAAGGTTACAATGTAAGCAAGGACTTTGCTATTATTTAACCCGAGTTAAACAGAATAGAAATTCTATAAATAATCTATACATTATTGGTTTAGCACTCTAAAGACGTGTAAATTTACTTTTGTGATTTTTGAGCCTGGTGAAGAAGGAAAAATGTCAAAACATAAAAGTATTTGTTCGTGCAATACTAGTAAATCAAAAGGGTCACCACTCCGACTATTCATATGAACTTGCAAGTGCAATCAAGGAAAAAATCCAAAAGTACCACTGTTTAAAAAAAAATTTTCCAAAAATACCACCCAACCCCAAAAAATTCCAAAAATACCACCCTTTTTCAAAAACCGCCACCCCACCCAGCGGTTTGGTCGAAAACCGCTTGTCGGGGGCGCGGTTTTGGACCAAACCGCGGGCCTAGGGGGCGGTTATAAAAAAAAAAATTTTGGACCAAAACCGCTGGGTGGGGTGGCGGTTTGGCCCAAAACCGCCACCCCAACCAGCGGTTTGGTCCAAAAGTTCGGTCGAAATTTCGAACGAACGTAACTTTGCACTCGGGTATCCGATCGTAGCGATATTTTTTTTCATTTCGCATAACTTTTCAAGATCTACAACTTTTACTAGGATGAAATTTTCAAAACAGGAACTATTTGTGGATATACGGGACCTTGAGAATAACTTTACCTTTACTTTTCAGAAATTCATGTACATTTTGAAATTATGATTATATTAAAAGTTGTATATCTTGAAAAGTTATGCGGAATAAAAAAAAATTCATGACATTCGGATTTTGGAGCACAAAGTTATAGCCGCCCAAAGTTTGACGAAATAAAAAAAGGTCGTTCGGGGTAGCAAATGACGGTTTTTCGAGACGAAGACGGAACCCGACTGTTTGAGACTTGCAAGATCTCAAAAATTTATTCGGATTCAAAAAATGGAGGCCGCAAACTTTTTGAGATCTTGCAAGCCGCAAGCCGTCGGGTCTCGCCTTTCGTCAAACTTTGGGCGGCCATAACTTTGTGCTCCAAACTCCGAATGTTATGAACTTTTTTTTGATTCCGCATAACTTTTCAAGATCTACAACTTTTAATATAATCATAATTTCAAAATGTACATGGATTTCTGAAAAGTAAAGGTAAAGTTATTCTCAAGGTCCCGTATATCCACAAGTAGTTCCTGTTTTGAAAATTTCATCCTAGTAAAAGTTGTAGATCTTAAAAAGTTATGTGAAATAAAAAAAAATATCGCTACGATCGGATACCCGAGTGCAAAGTTACGTTCGTTTGAAGTTTCGACCGAACTTTTGGACCAAACCGCCACCCCTCCCAGCGGTTTTGGTCCAAATTTTTTTTTTTTTTATAACCGCCCCCTAGGCCTGCGGTTTGGTCCAAAACCGCACCCCCGACAAGCGGTTTTCGACCAAACCGCTGGGTGGGGTGGCGGTTTTTGAAAAAGGGTGGTATTTTTGGAATTTTTTGGGGTTGAGTGGTATTTTTGGAATTTTTTTTTTAAACAGTGGTACTTTTGGATTTTTTCCTGCAATTGTCTGGTAAGCTATCAAGATATCCCTAGTAAGAGCCAGTCAACCTGATCTCCACAGTGCGGTCGACCTTCTTTCTGAACATGATAGTACACTGTTTATGACGGCCTTCATCGAACTTTTCATCATCGGGTTAATCACAGAATCATAGCAGTCAAGCCCTTCTCTGTTTGTGGTCTTTAGATGTATATGCATTTGTTGATAATAACTCTTTATTTATCTAAAATCATAATTTTGACGACACTGGTCCTGAAGAAACCTGCACTATCAGAAGATCGAATGATTGATATACAAAAGAAGAATGAAAGACGATATATATGAACCCTCGAAATTTAGAGTTCACCTCTTAAAGTAGCATCCTAATGCGAAGACAAGTTATTGATTACACTGAGTTAGTTAGCCATTGAGTGAAATTTGAATTTTTGTTTATCATGTTACTCCATTTACTATGATTTTCAAGTTTTACTGTGTAGGTGGAGAGTGTGTATAATTAGTGAATAGTATGATTCTCCTCCTTGTGAAATACTCAAAATCAATAAGCTTTACAAATTTCTCAATTTTAACCAATCGTACACTCGACTGCGATCAAGTAACCTACAGCGAAGAAATGGTGGGAAAAAAAAATTCCGCTGCCGGGAGTTGAACCCGGATTTCATGAAAGGAGAAATTTGCCAAATTGCTACAGCGGATTGGTGATTAACATTGCAAACAAATTTAATAAAAGGTCATTTCTTAGGGTCTTAAAACGTCATAACAATTGGGCGCCAATTTTTTTTATTATCCAGCAACAACATATTGACTGGACAAAAATCAAACATAAGTTGGAAAAAGGTTGATCGCTTATGAAAAACGATTGGTCATATGGTACACTTAATTTATTCTAACGATTCTCCATCATTACAAGGAAAATAATGATCTATAACTTCATTAAATTGGTTAGTCATTATTTTATCAGGGTTGGAACAAGATTTTACCACTAGAAGCATTTTTAGTATTGCAATGAGACTCCACTATTAGAAAGAAAATAATGGTTGCCGGTACAATTGAACAATCGACTATTAATTATTATGTCATTAGAATTGGAACAAGATTTCACCATTGGAAAAATTTCAGCACTAGAAAGGTTTTCGTTTAAATAAGAACTTTACTATCATTTCACCCGAAATAAATGGAACAAAAGCCCTATAAATAATCTATACATTATAGGTTTATCACTCTAAAGACGTGTAAACAACTTTTTGTGATTTTGGAGCTTGGTGAAGAAGGAAAATTTTCAACACATTAAAGTATTTATCCGTGAAATACTAGTAAATCGAAAGGGTGACCACTCGGACTATCCAGCTGAACTGGCAAGTGCAATTGTCTGGTAAGCTATCAAGATATCCCTAGTAATAACAAGTCAACCTGACCTCCACAGTGTGGTCAACCTCCTTTCTGAATATGATATTACACAATCTATGACGTCCTCCATCGAACTTTTCATCATTACGTCAATCACAGAATCTTAGCAGTCAACTTCTTCTCTGTTTGTGGTCTTTTGATGTATATGAATTTGTTTTTAGACAATGGGGGATGGGGAGAAACATAAACACGGTAATAATTTACTTTCGAAAGAGATGAAAGCTACACAAATGCATAACTTTAACAAATAGTACATTAGACTGCGATAAGGTAATCTACAAGTTCTTCAGCTTCTGCCATCTACATTTAGTTTGGATCCACTATACATTCCACAGCTTCGAATCCTATGAAACTACAACAATTTCTCTATACTGAAGTTGAGATGCTGAAAAATTTACTTGCGAATGTGCTGAAAAAGCAGGGGAAGTTTGTTGAGGAAGCAAAATTCGGGTAGGCTGCTGAAGTAGGCACCATGAGGCAACTCCAGCTGCAACTCGACCAACGAGTAGATCGTGGCGAGGAAAAGCACAAGTAAGCTGATGGTGTTTTCTATTCCAAGGACACATTATCATGGGAGAGGCATGGGAGGTTCCCATTTGGAGAACTCAACTAAATTCCTGTTCACTATCGTTTGATGGTGCAGCCAGAATGTTTCGTGTGATTGGTGGAACTGCCTCACTTTCCTCTGAAGTTCCCACAATATTCCTTGCATTGTAGAACAGGGCTGAGATTCGGAACCATATACCCACAAGCATCTTATTTGCCTCCCGTTAGCTATCATCCTCTCAATGTCTCTTTCTAGGGTAAAAGAACAGAAAAAACGCAATAAATCAAGATCGTACAATTACCCTACTTGAACATAAGGCTTCAGTTAATACAATTTTTACCTGGTATAGACTCAAGGTAATCCAAAAGTTCAGGGCCAATTCGACTAGATGGCCATTTGATTGATATCTGGGAATAGTCTATCACATTTTGGAACGGAAACTCTGCTTGATCTGACAAAATAACAGGAACGCACTCCTGCAAAACACATGGCCATGAAATTACTTTGTAGGCACAACTTTAGGCATACCCAAAAGAGGAGAAAAAAAGGTAGAAAGAGACCAACCACAAAAAAAGATTCATAAAACCGAAGGGTCCAGGAAGATTCTCCTCGTGGTGCAAGACAGAACTTTGCATTGCGGAGATGTTCAAAGTATTCAGCCCTTCCCAATTTCTCAGGACCACTGAATTTCAAGTCAGGACATTCCAACTGTTTCCGGATGTCATTATGTGCTTCATATGTTAGCCATATAACCAAGAACAAGGAATAAGGACTAGCATGACAACCACCATAATAAAGAGAGGTGGAATAATGCAGTTTAGTTGCAGCAAGTTGCTTAACCAAGCATCTTCTTTTCAGCCATTTTATGCAGATCATCTTTTAGTTGTTCAAAGGCCAATCACATACAACCAGAAAGAAAACGATAAACAGCCTTATCCAGTCTACAGCACTTCGACAAACAGAATGACTAACCTGCCCGACACATATGTAGAAGCATGCACAAGAAAGAGAAACATAAGCAGAGCAAAAACATACCAAATAAAAAAACAAAGCAATCTAGTCAGTGAGCTCAAGTCCAAGATAAAAATGTACAGTTAAAGATTGAACATGAAAAGAAGAGCAGCCATTCAAGGCTATCATAGTGTCACACCGAGAGAACAGCTTACCTTATCTGGAAATTTCTTTGACATCTCAATGAGCTTAAGGCGACCAGCTTTGCCTTGTGCCCTACCTAAATAATTTGCTAAGTACTTCCTTTTTGACAAAGGTAAAGGCTCAACTGTAGTAGGTTTTTTCACGGTCATTCCATCTTCAACATTACCCGGGATGATGATATCTTTCCAAGTATTGAAAGCAGTTATATCCTTTTTATCAGTTCGGTCGCCCTGCACTAACACAAATGTTCCAGGCCTGTTAGCATGCTTTGCAGTAAATGAAAAAGAACACACACTACACAAGAAACCACTATCTCTGAAATTCACATATGCAGTCAAACACCAAACACTTAGAATCATAAACATGAATGCGTGCTGTCACTTCAATGAATAACACGCATTTAACTAGTCCAAAGAGAAGGGATTGTTCAAGAAACACGAATTATACCTCAGGAGAAAGTATAATTGAACGATTTATGAACGTAGCCCACGATCGAAACAAGTGAGCTCCTGCCCCACTAAAGTCAATGAAAATTATACACATAGATCAGCAACATTGAAGGGAATGCTAAGCACATAAAAGCTGAATAATAATTACTTTCTACATCCTAACTCACCCTACTTGCCAGGACTAAGGTTGAAGAAACCGACGGCCAGTCCTCTTTAATCATGTTTCAAATGTTCTCCTTGAAAGGAACAGAAAGTTACCTTGGGAAGACGAAAATGTGGTCTCGACCTCCAGATCTTCTAAAGTAAGGCATTTGGCTTAAGACCTGCGATTCAGCCATTAAAGGTGGGGTAACCACAATACAAAATTCGAAATCCCCAAGGTCTGTAGATAAAAATCATAATCCAGAAAGGAAATGTGCTCACTTTAACAAAGGTTTGGTTGATCTCCTTATCATTGAGACCTCCCATCATCCGCACACACTTGACATACGTCGGCACAAAGAAGAAATCGGCCTCCTCTTTCCGCCTAGTCCGAAACCTCGATTTCAACAGCAATTTGTGTATCTTAACCTAGAAAATCAATCCAATCCGCAAAATTCAACTTCAATTTCAGTTTCCGGTTTGCTTCGCCAAAGCTCTAATCAAACAGAGGAACATTGCAATTCAAATGTGGCAAAAATTCAAGGACATAATTAACAGACCTGAGTTCCCCATTGGCCTTTCACGCAAGCTTCGGCGGATATTTTGCCATCTCGACCGCGCATCAGCTCTTTCAAGCCACCAATCTCGGTCTCTTCATACACATAGATCTTGAGGGAGAGGGCTGAACCGTAGCCACGGTTAGGCCACGACAGGTAGCCGGCGTCAGAGACACGGACGAGGCTCGGGGAATCGGAGGAGCCGAGATCGCCGCCGAAGGAAGTGGCGGTGCAGGGAGAGAATGACTGGTGAAAGAGGCGAGTGAGGAAGAAGGTGGCGGAGACGAGGAGAAGAGCGCCGATCTGGTGAGCCCGAGTGCACGGCGGCAGAGCGTTGCCGTGGTGCACACTGAAGACTCTCGGCTGCTTGTTGGTCAAGCTCCCCATATTTTTCTCCTTCTCCGGCCACTGCTCTTGTTTTCTGGCCGCTTTCTGTTGGACTGGAAAATGGCGGCCCGGAATGGCAACGGGTGAGGAAGAAATGAAAAGGTAGAAGGAATTATACATAGACGCCGTCGTTTAAGTTTTAACACTTGTTTACTACGTAAGGGAGGAAAATGGGGGAAAGGAAAATGGAAGGGGAAGGAAAAGGAGGAGAGAGAAAATTTGGAGTGAAGGGAAAATGTTGTTTTATGAAGGAAAGTATGGGGAAAACTGAAAAAGTGAGAATGAAAAGTATATTGGAAAATGTGATAGATATGTTATTTTATTGGTTATAAAATTGTAAATAGTTTAATTATGTATTAATGTTAATTTCATGACTTATGAATAACAAGGTTGTCAAACCGGTTTAAGTCGTAGAGCCGATCAAATAAATGGTTTGAAGTTTATTGGTCTGATTGGGGTCCGACCTATTTGAGTCGTTTTGAGTCTTCTACCATTATGGTATATTTTATTATCATGAACATATGACCATCAAATATACCATATCTACTGGGATGATGATGATAGACAATTTTTATAATATGACGGACAATATGCTACGATAGTAATTGAAATAATAATCAATGTTATTTGGTGGGGGAGAGAGAAGTGGAATTTTATGAAATATATGTATTTAAAAACAATTATTTGATGGACTTAATTATTAGAAAATATTAAAAAAAAAGAAAAAAGAAATAACCACAAATGCTACGATAGTAATTGAAATAATAATCAATGTTATTTTGTGTGGGAGAGAAGTGGAAGTTTATGAAATATAAGTATTTAAAAACAAGTATTTGATGGACTTAGATCTTTCCCACTCTGTTGGGACTCCAAAATACTCTGATTGACAATTGGTTGGCGCAAAGGCAATAGTGTCAATGATCTCCTCTTTCTCCTCGTTTGCGACATTATGACTGAAGAAAATTGACGACTTTGTTGCATTAACTTCTTGCCCCGTGATTGCTCCGTACTGATTGATGATGTCAAGAATTCTTGTGGTCTCATCTGTGGTTGCTCGGCCAAATATGACTGTGTTGTCAGCAAAGAGTTGAAGAAGAAAGAAACGAAGAAGATGACGGAATGTAGGGGAATAAATCCTTACTCTTCTCATCTGTTAACTTACTTATGGGCTCCAAATAGATATGGGCTCCAAATGAATACTCTAAAGTCTAAGCCATAGTTAAAACCTTAAACTAAAGCCCACTTTTATAGAAAATCAATCTAACTAAACGAACTGGAAGGCCCAAAAGTTGGCTCTAGGACATTATCTTACCCTACGTATAAAATTAATTAGTAGTTTAGTACAAGTAGCAATTACAACTTTGTTCTTTTGTCCAAGTTCTGTCAGTATATTATATAATATATTAATTAAAATAATATAATATAAATACTCTCTTTATACTCCCGAAATACAATTCTCACAAAATAGATGCTTTCTCGCTCTCGCTCCCGCTCCACGAATCGATAAGCTAAGTTCTGACCTATTACATAAGATTCCTCTAACTTATTCTTTATTTCCACTCCCTATCACTACCCTAATTTATATTTATTTACATTTTAGTCCAAATTATTGCACACAAGAAGGCAGATTCGCTGCTAGTGATTTTCAACGGGGAGAAGGAACGGTGGCATCGAGCGGGACTGATGAGAGAATCCAAGAGGAACTCGTGGCTCGCGGCTGTTTTGTTATGATGGAGCTGACGAGTTTCGTCGATGAATGAACGTGAGGGTGCTGGGTTGGGCTGAGAAAAAGGGCTCAGTGTAAATTGTAAAATGAATTTTTTCCCCCACTAAATACGCATGTTCTTAAATAAAAACTCCCAAAATATGTGTTAGTTTTTTTATACAAAGGTAAAAAGGGTTGGACTGAAAGGTTATGTGAGTGCGACCAGCCGACTATTCATTTGTTATCTTAATTTTTCTTTTTTCTTAAAAGGAATATATTGCATCTTTCTTCTCTTTTTTTATTTAGGGTAATGACTATTTATTAGTCAAATATTTTTCAATTTTTTTTATTATTCAAACCTATTTAATTACTATTAAGTTAATTAGAATAAAAATGCTGAAATTCGGTAGTTGGCAAGTCCACACAAAAATGTTGGATCAACATACTTTATTATATTTTTTATTGTCTGTATTTTTTCTAAACTAAACCACACATACAATTTAAAATTTCATGTTCAAATCATTGTTATTTGAGTTTCCATATCAGAATTATTCTCTTATTATAAGATATAGATAATTTCAAAAAAATATAAATATGAAGTCGTCAACAACAAATATGTTTCTAGAGTTAAATAAAAATTACGTTAAATGCAATATAGCCTAATTGATTGTAGTGCTCTTCTTTCATATAAATGCAATTTCATATCTCAATAATAGTATTTTAACATATAAAAAGAAATTGGGCACAATTACAAAATGACGTTCATAGACACACTCTCAAGCCACAAAATTTGAAATAGGAATTGCAGTTTTCCCATTCCAATATGTGCAGAGATAGAGATAGATAGTTCATTCACTCTCAAACCACCTTAACAATCCTTTATCCAGACATCAACAAATTGAAATTGTTACGTGCTACAATATTGAATGGAAATACAACACAACCAAAGACAATTATATTTTTTGGGGAATTTTCATTATTTTATTGTAAAATTATTGAAGGGAATCACATCCACAATATCATCCATTCAGAAAATTACACTCAGCAACATGCAATCATTTAGCATATGAGAGAACCTTCAAGTCACCATTGTGCCTCTCTAAAATGGTTGCTTCGTAAAATTGAGTGTTAATTTCGAAGGCCCTAAAAACAAAGCGATAAATAACACCATCTTCAACGTTTTGAAATAAGCCTTTATCGACATGCACTAGCTTTAAGTCAGCTCCACCAAGTGCTTTATCGATGTACTTTATTGCGAATTCCACAATCTCAATTGTGTGATTGTCTTTTAGATTCGCTACAGAATGCCATTCACTGTTCATCCTAGTTGCTGTTGCTGCTCCTGTGACAAAGAAGACGAAAATGAGAAAAGAAAATGAAACGATTGGCTTCATATTTACTTTTGATGTATATGCTCAAAATATTAATCTGAATGAATTGAGAGTCTCAATGTAAATCGATATTTATAGTTGAAGAATATCAAAAAAAAGTTGGAAAACATTGATTCGATACTCTTACCATTTGTGTGATTCAAATTAAAGTATGATACGTATAATGTACTGCTTATACTATTATGAAGATTTATGCACTTGCTGAAAGAAAGAACCATGAAAACGGAGATTTAATAATTTGACATTTTATTGGCCGCCATTCTTTTCTTATTTAATCTAGTGGTTATCTTGATCGAAGCACTTATTTTGGGATGTGTTATTCGCTTATTTGAGCCCGGGGTTATGCACCCTTCCATTACTAGATTTGGACTCTTAGATTTGATGGGTAAGAAAATCCAGATTTAATAGGTGATAATTAATAATTTTTTATTTTTTCTAGTTTTATTAATAGCCTGTTATCTTTTTGTTAACATATAATTCAATTTTGTTACATAGATAAAAACGAGTTTGTTGTGATTAACAAAATGATATCAATTTTCAATATATTTTGATAAAAAATGTTTCATACCACTCATTAGTTGGTACCACCTTCGTTTCTAACTCAAATTTTCAAATTCTTTGCATAGATGGAACGAAATTTTTTTGTAATTTATTGAATCTACAAATTTGGGGGGGGGGGGGGGGGGGAAGAACTGGACTAAAACGTGCCACTCAATACCACCCTAATATAGGAGTGGTAACTAGTGGTACACAATGATGAATGTGGTAAATGACAGTTTGTGTGTTTATACTATTATGTATTCAACCATTATACACTCTGGTATGTTCATACCACCTGGTACACTTCAGTACCACATGATATGACTTTATGCAGTACCAAGCATTATTACCATGGTGTAGACAGGTACTGTGTCTGAATTTTTTTATTCCAAAAATATATCAAAGAGGATATCATTCTGAAAAGCATAATTTTGCTGATTTATTTATAAAAAAATTCAAGGTAGGACTTAAAATAAAAGAGATATAGCCCGTTAAAATTTATATAGGAAAGGGTTACGGGCCTTCCATTCATGGTGATATAGTAGTGATGTGGCAGTTCTGCATGGTTATTTACCATAATGTTATTGACGTGAACCAATCCCTATTATTTGTAACCCTTAAATTTAGACTAACACTAGGCGTATAGAGTATGTCGAATGTAAGCGAATATTTGCTATATATGTATATGCACACACACACTATTACAAGTAGGGGTGGCTATACGGTCCGGTCCGGTTAAATTGGCCCAAATTGATCCGGTCCAGTCCGGTTTTTTTGAAAATATAAGGACCGAAGATTGGATTGGATACAGTCCGGTCTTGATCCGGTCCGGTCTTGACCCGGTCCGGTCTTGATTTTATATTGAGATTGTGGGAATTTGAGTGGCCTAAGGCCTAAAAGGGTGAGGAGCTGGTTAAGTTTTGTACTAAGTGCAAAGGTTTGTGACCGTTTATGCAAATTACCCTTAAGTTTTGGGTGTTGAGCTCTCTTATCCGGTCTTTATCCGATTTTTTACCTCAAATCTAAGCCCAAAAATTGGATTGGATTGTTTACTATCCGGTCCCGGTCCGGGTTATACGGTCCGGTTTCCGGTTTTTCATCCGGTCCCGGTCCAAATAGCCAGCCCTAATTACAAGGGCCAGCCTATTGGCTAACATAATTTGATGGTTATATAATTTACACGTGTCATTTACACTAATGATGTGTCTTTTTTTTTGGTACTTGACCATGAACTTTCTAGTCCAATACTCAAATTACTTTGAATATGCTTAGAACATATTAAAAACATGGGGAAATCAAAAGGACTAACAAAGGTATGCATCTAATAGTAACATAATATGTTTACAAACAAACTGTTGCATGCATAAATAACATGTGTGTTGCTTCTCATGATAGATACATATTCAATCTTCACCATAAAAGAAACTGATTGTACTTTCATGGAGTTCAATGTATACATGATTTTTTTACAATTTTTATCTTCTTTATTGATCGTGACACAAATTATATAGTGACATATAACATAGAAACATTGACATATATTTTTGAATTTGTTGCCTTTTTCAATGTGCAGTGGAAGTGAGAGACTGACCCGGGAAACCAAAATAGGCTTCATAATGCTATATTCCATCCTCTGGAAACTAAGGGCAGATTAACTCTGTAACTGTAACTAACTAAAGAGAGGTGGACATGTCTTGTAGTAGGGCTGAAAATTTGTTTTTCCTACCTGTCAGTTGTCACTGACCTTGTCTGACCCGTCCCTGAATGGTCAAGATGTATAACTAGCTCGTCCTATTCCTGTCTCCTTTTCTACCCGTCTGACCCTTAAGGGTTGGGACGGGTCAGGACGGGCTGGATCAGTGGCTTGACCCTAATCAATACACTACTTTTTTACAAATTATGTTTTGGTACCCAAAATTATTTTTTCTTACAATTTAGTACCTACAGTGTATCATACCATCTGCACACTGACAACTTGTCAGCGAAGACCACGTCCTTCTATATCCCATGCCACACCCATGACGGTCTTGATTCTATGATTTCGAGGAAACACTTGTGGGGATCATACATTTCCTTATGTACATATAAGCCACCGTTCTTTCATGATGATGAAGCAATTTCTATGTTTGGTTAGCTAGGATGGCAACATTGAACTTATAAGGATTCCTAAATCTCATACCACCTTTGAACTTGCTTTGACAGATTTTCGTCCACGAGGGTCAATGCATCTTGTCTTCTTTGTCATGGTCCGTCCATCAGAATCATGATAATGAACTATTACACCTGCAACACGAAGTGTAAGGCAACCGGGAACCACTGAAAAACTGGTTGAAAATTAGAAGTTCAGAGAAGGAAAAATAGAACACGATATATTATGACAGATTTTATTAGAAATTAGGAAGTGCAATATATGGTTCCCAAACATTTATATTGATTCACCAAAAAAAAACTTGTACCTTGAGTAGTTGCGGATAGAACATTTTTCAAGGATTATATTAGATATATTTATTGTCTTGGAAAAATCATATCTTCTCTTTTATCTTCGAACAAGAAAAATTGTTTCACTATGCTATGTGAAAAAAGTAGAAACTTTTATTTAATTTCTTGAATTATGAAACAATTATTTCGTAATAGCATTGCTCGATTGGAAAATTTTTGCTAGACAAAACTAACGAATTTGAGTGAATTTTTTTTTTTGCTTATGTGCTTAAATATCAGTTAATTACTTAATTTGTATGAATGGTTAGTAGGATTGCATAAAAATATAGGTTTTTCCCTGAATGTTGAGAAATGTTTTTATCCCACATAGAGACAATAAATCTTTATCAATTGTTCAAGGTTTTTTTTTTTACTAGTGATACTTGATACTATTTTGAAGGCATGGGCGTGTTGAGGCGCTTAAAGATGGGTGATACTCTTTAGGTGTCATAAGCATGGTAAGTCATGTCAAGATACCATATAATATTGGGGTGGCATGAGCGAGCTGAGGCACATAAAGATGTCTAATACAATTTATGTGGTACAAGTGATCAAGTAGTGCTCACATATATAAACACTCTCCAGTCTTTCAAAGGAAGGGACTCGACCTCTACGTACATTACATGTCAAATTTTTAGTTCTTTTTCTAAAAGATTTTTACTGTATATACACTTCAGAATGAAACTAACCTGATCATCAAAGTGTAGATTACGAGTCACCCCGTATTTCCATCCAAAAAGACCAATCGAACATAACGGCACGAGTCATGATGAACACATCCAATCATTGTTCTAGCACAAGAGCCACTTGTTACCAACATATGATCAATTAAAATATACTATGGATTGAATGATGGGTTTTCTCAAGGTTTAGGTTAGGTTCGCGAGATAGATCTATGTCGATGTTACATTAGTCTTATTGAGTTCCTTGTTTGGGGTTGGGTACCGTTGAGAGAGGTCATGCATATATGTCAATTGTCAAGATCAAATTCCAACCTCACCCTAAAGTTGTGCGTCTTCCTCGGGTTAATTGAAGTTATCACTAGGTTAAATTTTATGCTTTGCGGCCTACAACATTGATTTCTTATTCCAAAATTTTCTCTAATATAGGCCGACATACTGATAAAAAAAAAGGACCGACATAACTTCCATAGGTAGGTTTAAAGACCGTTATTTTTGGACGGCCCAGTTATCATATATATGAAAATCCGATAAACAGACAATAATATACAGCTCTTCTGGTTGGAAAGACGTTATCAATCGTTGTCTGGCCTCGATCGTATAAACAAGTGATTCAAAGTTTGACAAAGTTTAAACTGCCAAGCAAGGATTCGATTGAATGGATCGCTCGGTCGAACTGCTAAAGCTAATCATTTTACAATCTTTGATTCAGTTTGACCAAGTTTGGTTGAAATTAAATACGATCACATAGAATTCAGTACGTAGCATGGTCGAACCAGGTTCAATTGTACGAAATGTATCGAAGCCCTGGGTAGTAAAAAAAAAAGCGGAATACTGTATTTCTAGGATTGGATTATCCTTGCTATAGGTTACGTATTAAGTGTTCAAGTTCCTATGTACACCCATGCATGCATCACTGAATCAGTGACAACCTGGTTGCACGTGCATGGCTGCGTGCGGCAGCAGTAATTAAGTCCATAATTCTTTCCTATTTACTTATTAGCCGTACGTTTAAATGAATCATAATTCAACCAGTGGTAATTGGTAACTGGCTAGCTAAGTAGATATTAGGCCCACATTTGGCAGTATAATATATATTTTCTATATTTTACCCGACTGTGGGCCTAGAACTGTCTGATCTGTTCCCTACCTAAGACACAGTCGACAGTTTCTTGTGTTGTCTTTTTACTTTATGCGTATGTGCTTAACCAAATTCTGAGAAATAGATTGAATCCGTTGCAACGGGGGACGGACGACGGTATCCAACAGAGTGAGAGACACTTTTTAATTATAGGCGGTATACATTGAGGAAAAAATGGCAAAATTATTTAATGATATGGTTGGAAGTTATCTTAGTTCATGATGAGGATTTGATAAATTTATGAAAATAGACAATATGAGCTGATCAAATGTTTTTTCTTGTAATGGATTATACTTTTGATATTGAACGTGTGAGCACATGGGTAGTTACGCACCAACGCTACAGCTTATGGCCCGATATTACTCAATCATTCATCTCTAATTCTCTATTTTATTAGTTAAACCACTAATTAGAAAGGACAAAACAATTGGGGCCCGTAATTTGTTAATCATGCACTGCTACATCCAATCTTCTTAGGCCTGAAATCACCATCGACATTAATTATTCGATCATCTCTATATAAGCCGGGCGCTGCCACTCAAAATATTTCTCACCCCTTCTTTTTTCGTGGTAATTAAAGTCTGTTTTCTTTCTTGACGTGCTTTCTCTAGCTAGTCTCAACACCATGATTATTCAGGCTGCTGCTGCTGCTCCACTGTTTCTTCTTCTTCTTCTTCTTCTGTTTGTGGCGGCCTGCAATGCGCAGCTGCGAGTCGGTTTCTACTCCGAAACTTGCCCGTCTGCCGAAGAAACTGTCCGTGCCGCCGTCAAAGAAGCAATGCACGAAGACATGTCTTCAGCCGCTAGACTGCTCAGGCTGTCGTTTCACGATTGTTTTGTCCAGGTACCGGTGTCAAACAATGGTGCACCGTGCACGTACATATATATATATATATATATATATATATATATATATATATATATATATGAGCGGTCCGTAATTTGTATCTTTTTTTGCACGTGTAAATTCTCAGGGTTGCGACGCGTCGATTTTGCTGGAAGCCGAGGGTGGAGAGGCAGAGGCGCCGGGGAATGCAGGGGTCGGCGGATTCGAAGTGATCGGCGCGGCCAAAAAGAGGGTCGAGTCACTCTGCCCCGGCGTCGTGTCTTGCGCGGACATAGTGATGTTGGCTGCCCGAGACGCTGTTGCCTTGGTTCGTATTGGTTCAATTCAATTTCCAAATAATTATTAATGTAATGATTCTGCTCTGCTAATAACCGTGACTGATTAATTAACTAGACCAAATTTTTGACTATATATGCATGGGCAGAGCGATGGACCGGATTACGAGCTGCCGACGGGGAGAAGGGACGGCCGGATTTCCAGCTTAGCCCTCGCCTCCCATCTCCCGGAGGTCAACGACCCAATTAGAGTCCTCAAGGCTAAGTTTCACGCCAAGGGGCTGAGTGAGAAGGACCTTGTCCTTCTCACCGCAGGTACTATGTAACTCAAACCATAAACAGCACAAAATTTATATACCATGGTCACGAAACTAGAAAGATCTTAAGAAAACTTTAAACATCTAATAATGCATTTTATAATGTCACAATATGTGTCGGTTTATTTTACTTGTGAAACTATTGAGTAGTTTACCTAGCCGTCAAAAGGTCGATTTTTTCAACGTATACTTTATACGAGAAGTAAGTTATATATAGTCAAATAACTGATAATCTCGTCATGAGCGCGACTACTTTGATTGGATATATTGAAGAAAATGTACTTTAAAATCGAATTATTTCACCAAGTGGCAAGTGCACTACTACGTACGAGTTCATTCATATAGTTCCTATGGGGACATTAGATAAAATTAGAACGCGGTACGAGTTCATTCATATAAACGAGATCACACTAAATTTCAATCCCTGACTACGATACTGAATGCAATTAATTATGTTCGTGGAGTATATTAAAGCTTGATATCGTCATATTGAAGCTTGATATCCCTACTTTGACGACGAGACATAAGCAAACTTTGACACGCTATTGTATATATATATATATTGTTTCAACAGGAGCGCACACGCTAGGCACGGCGGCATGCTTCCTCACGTCGAAGCGCCTGTACAACTTCAGCGGCAGAGGCGACCCTGATCCGACAATCAGCCCTCGTTTCCTGCCGAGGCTGAAATCGTTCTGCCCACTCAACAGCGACTTCGTCAGACGAATCCCCCTGGATTGGGCGTCGGAGTTCGAATTCGACGACCACATCTTGCGCAACGTCGTGACGGGATTCGCCGTCCTGGCCTCCGACGCCCAGCTCACAGAAGATCGGAAGACGAGGCAGGTTCTGGAGTCTTACGTTGGGGGCGGCCACGCGACGTCGTCGTTTGGGGCAGATTTCGCCGAAGCAATGGTGAAGATGGGGCGAATCGGGGTCAAAACGGGTTCCCAGGGGGAGATCAGGAAGATCTGCGGGAAAGTGAATTGAGATCAGATCAGTACTTGATGAAAGGGAAGGAATTAGAATCGGATTTCTGAAAACTACCACGATTGACTGATTGTAATGATCATATGCTTCGATCTTGAATAATAATATTAGTGGTATTGTTCAAGAAGTTACGTGGTTTACAAGAACTTGGAAACCCTTTTCTAGTTAGTTTATGAGACTTTGGCCGAGCTTCGACTTCAGACTTATTCTCTTTTTATAAAATATAGACTTCAAGTAAAATATAAATACGAATCCGTAAACAAAAAAATATGTGTGTAGAGTTAAATAAAAGCAATTGCATTAAATACAATATAACCTAGTTGGTTGTAGAGCTCTTCCTCATATAAGTGATCAGTTTCAAATCTCAATAATCACATTTTTAATATATAAAAGACAAATTGAGCGCAATTATGAAAATGACGTTCATAAACATACTTTCAAAACACGAAATTTGAAATGAGAGTTGCAATTTTCCCATTCCACTATTAATATATCTGTGGAGATAGAGATAGTTCATTCATACAATTTAGGCCGTAAACCCACCTTAACAATCCTTTATCCAGACATCAACAAATTAAAAGGGGAATTGTTACGTGCTACAATACTGAATCGATATACGACATAACCACCAACAGTAAAGACAATTATATTTTTTGGGCAATTTTCATTATTTTATTGTAAGATTATGGTAGGGAATCGCATTCACAATACAATACCATCCATTTAGAAAATTACACTCAGCAACATGCAATCATTTAGCATATGAGAGAACCTTCAAGTCACCATTGCGCCCCTCTAGAATGGTAGCTTCGTAAAATTGAGTGTTAATTTCGAAGGCCCTAAAAACAAAGCGATAAATAACACCATCCCCAACGTTTTGAAATAAGCCTTTATCAACATGCACGAGCTTTAAGTTAGCTCCACCGAGTGCTTTATCGATATACTTTATTGCGAATTCCACAATCTCAATTGTGTGGTTGTCTTTTAGATTCGCTACAGGATGCCATTCGCTGTTCATCCTAGTTGTTGATGTTGCTCCTGTGACAAAGAAGATGAAAATGAGAAAAGAAAATAAAACGATTGGCTTCATATTTGCTTTTGATATATATGCTCGGAATGTTAATCTGAATGAATTGAGAGTTTCAATGTAAATCGATATTTATAGTTGAAGAATATCAATTTTATTTTGGAAAACATAGATTTCTGATACTCTTACCATTTGTGTGATTCAAATTAAAGTATGATACGTATAATGTATTGCTTATATTATTATGAAGATGAATGCACTTGCTGAAAGAACCATGAAAACGGAGATTTAATAATTTGAAATTTTATTGGCCGCCATTCGTTTCTTATTTAATCTATTGGTTATCTTGATCGAAGCACTTATTATGGGATGTGTTATTTACTTATTTGGGTCTAGGGGTTGTGCACCTTCCATAGCTAAATTTGGATTCATAGATTTGAATAGATTTGAGTAGGGTGAGAAAATCTAGATATAATGGGTGAGAATTAATGACTTTTTATTTTTTTTTAATTGACTCCTATCTTCTTCGTTTTAATATAGAATTCAATTTTTTTTTCACATATGGAAGAGTTAGTTGCAATCTACAAAATTAGATCTATTCTCAATATATTTCAAGAAAACCATTTCATGCCACTTGGTAGCACCTTCGTTTTTAACTCGAATTTTGATTTTTTTTACACAGATGAAACGAAATCTTCGTAATCTATTGGTTCTACAAATTTCTGGAGAAAAAAGATTGGACCAAAATGTACCACTCCATACCACCCTTGTATTGGGATGGTAACTAGTGGTACACAATGATGAATGTGGTAAATGACAATTCGTAAATTCCTACTATCATGTATTTAACCATTATACCCTCTGGTATGTCCATACCATCATGGTACGTTCTTGTACCATATGGTACGATTTTATGTAGTATCAAGCATTATCACCTTGGTATAGACTGGAACTAAATTTCTAAAAAAAAAAAAGTTCCGAAAATATATCAAAGTGGATATCATATTGAAAAGCATAATTTATATGATTGAGGAGTGCGATTTTTTTTTTTTTTTTGAAGTTATGACTTAAAAAATTTGTTCCGAAAATATATCAAAATGGATATCAATTTTTTTTTGAAGCTATGACTAAAAATGGTGGTCTGGATGGGGAACAGACAGAGTCCACCTGAAAGGGCAATTCCCCAAAACACTCAAGAAAAGAAATATAACGGTGCGGCGGACTTGCAAAGGAGTGCTGATTATTTGGTCCGGGCGTTTTGGTTTTACCCAAAACTGGATCGTATAACTCGGACTGGGATCGGATAGCAAACAATCCAATCCAATTTTTGGGCCTAGATTTAAGGTCAAAAACTGTTTGGGACCGGACCGAAAACCGGATAAAGACCGAATAAGAGAGCCCAACACTCAAAATTTATCCTCCTCAGCCTTTCAGGCCTTAGGCCACTCAAATTCCCCCATCAGACCACTCAAATCCCCACTAACTCAATCTAAAATCAAGACCGAATTGGGACCGGACCGGATCAAAACCGAACTATATCCAATCCAATCTTTGGTCCTTATATTCTCAAAAAGACCGAACTGGGACCGGATCAATTCGGGCCAATTTAACCGGACCGGACCGTATAGCCACCCTATTGTAAAGGAAGGAGGGTCACCTAGTCCAATGAGTATTCTAAACTACAAAAATATTATGGTTTGGAAAATCTCACGACTGTAAGAAGAGTGGTGAAGCTTCTCAAAGAAAGGTAACCCAATATAGTAAAAAGCATCTCTAGGAATATGCAGTTAGTGACTTTGTTTTCTTTGTCAGTGAATACTCTATTTAAAGTGGCCAACTAAAAAGTCGATATGAGTAATAAAAACTTTACATGTCTCAGGCGGATTCACAGGAGACAAAGTGAGAAGTGTCTAATTGATTATAAATATTAATTAGTCAATTTCTGGAGATGCCAACTTCTGGAGATGAAATGAGTTGTGATAGTTATATAATTATCATTCTTCAACGATGTCCAACAATCTGTTGTGATTGAAACCCTTCCCATGCCTTTAATTTTAAAAAAGGACTTCAAGCTATCTTTTCTCTGAATGAACAACTTTGCACAATCTGTCCTCACTGTCTTCCTACTTGGGATTTTGAACATGGGGCAAACTCGAGACATGAAATGACGAAAGCCCTCCCTTTCACAAAATCTGAACGGTTGCTCGTCAAGCATAATCATTTCTGCAAAAGCTAACCGTGATTCTTCTTGATTGAATCGCCAAGTTGATATTCCCCCTGCTCCGTCCCCGGAGGCACTAGGCTGCAAACTCAGAGTTGTTTGTTTAAGTTGCTCCAAATGTTTCTTGTCACAAGAGATCTTATGATTCTTTAAGCCATTGGTGCCATGGGTGTTTCCAACAGCAATGGTAATTGCACAACGATTGCATTTTGCTTTACGAACTTCAACCGGTGGGTTTCCTTCTTTAACTAATAACACCGAGTATCCGACCCAATGCGGTGATCGAAGGGCAGGTGCTTTCCGCTTTCTAGACGCTGATGTATCCTTGTCACTTTCTTCACTACCAATACCCACATCGTTACTTGCTTGTTCAGTTTGAGGGGCTTCATTCCCTTGATTGGCTTCATTTCCTTGACTATCCATTGAAACTAGAAACCAAATCAACAGAAACCAAAAAGATAGATGCTGGAAATTAGAAACCTAACTAGTAATTAGCACAAACATTATAACAAGTAACTCAATACAAAATTAGAAAGCAACCAAAGAAGGCCTGATATATATGGACATTCTGTACACATTCAATCTCAAACAATTAAACAGAAGATGAACATAGAAGAAAAGTAATTAAACAGAAGAAGTTCTTCACTTTGAATGATGTTAATTGCAGTCTCAATTTAGAAACTACATATGATTTACCGAGATAAACAGATGGTTATACAAATACTCAGCTTCAGCCAACATTTTAATCAAATTGTAAACAGAAGTTCACTTCGGCCACGACCAACATTTTAATCAAATTGTAAAATGTAAACAGCCGAAGTTCACCTCGCTGCTGCTGGCCGCCGGGTGAGAAGGAAGCCTGCTGCTGGAGCTCCGCTGCTCGTCTAAGCCTCGCTGTCGCTGAGTGGAATGGAGGCGGCGGCTGCACAAAGGAGAGGGACTGAGAGGGAGAGCTCAGAGGCGGCAGAGGCGGTGAATGAAGGAGCCAAGGAGGCGCCGATAGGTTTCGTCTCTTCTCTCTCGACTCTCACTCCCGAAGAAGACTCCTCCGACCTCCCAGAACAGAGAAGCTGCGCGTCCAGTCGTGAGTCGTCCAGAGAAGCTAGATCGCGTCCACTGTCCAGAAGCTGCTAGGGCTGCGCGTCCACTCTCAAGTCAACTCTCACGGTCTCAGACTCTCAGTGCAGTGGGTAAGGGCCGAAAATTATTTTTGAATTGGGCTGGGCCTGGGCTGAATTAAATTTAAATCTGTCTTTGTACTTTGAATGGGTAGAACGGGTACCCATATTACCCAAACGGGTATTAGCGGGTAACCCGCGGGTACCCATATTAGGACTGTACAATTCCAAGTCCCATCCGTTTAAAATATTACGGGTAATATGGGTACCCGTAACCCTTAAAAAACGGGACGGGTACGGGTATACCCAAATACCCGTTTCCCGTTGCCCACCCCTAGTCTTCCTTATGGATTCGGACTTTCAAATAGTCAGTGGATACACCAGTTTTGTTGCCCCTATATACATGAAGCTAATAATGAAATTTGAATAAAGTCCATAAAATCCTTAATTCAAGATTAGAAGGATGGAGAGGGGTTTGAACTTGTCATAGGAAGGGGAATCTCGGTAGAGTTGGTGGATAGAAAGGAGAAGAGAAGAGACCAGGAAGAAAAAAAATTAGTTTAATTTAAGGGTACAAACTGACGACCAGTACTTAAAGTTTTATTATTATTATTTTAAAATATCTTTTGATTGGATACTAAGAACGGTTTATATATTTGTATGGCGCGAATTTTTCACATATTAAATATCTTGGACAATCTTTCTGAGGCCTTTTTTCGGTGAATATCTTGGTTCAAGCTATCTTTGAACATCTCATTCGTAGGCCTTTTTCCGGTGAATATCTCTAATAAGAGTATTTCGTAACTGTACACATCTCCTTCTTTTGACACTTCAGTTCCCTTTCCATACTCTGCAACAAAGAAAACCAAACATATGAAGTTGTCATTGTGAGTCATCATCTAATTCAATGGCAAATGTAGTAATATGTAAGAAACTGACACAACATTTTGAACTCTTTGATTTTTAATCGTCACCTGGAGGGGCATAACGTAACCGATGGTTCCTCTGATTCCAACGGTGCTACTTTTGCTTTGAGAACTCAGCTTCTCATATTCACACATGAAAATAATCACTAGTTGCTTTTTCCTCGTTGGCAGACCTCATGGCTCATGTCACTGTTAGAAGCCTAGATGTGTGAGGCTGCACACATTGAGCATAAATGGTCTTTTTTAGCAAGAGCAAGCGCCCGGCTACACGAGATGAGTTAGATTTCGTTAGTTTTGCTCAGCTCGTCGTGCTATCGCGCACATACTGGGCTAAATAACTTTACGAAGAAAGATTTGCTTATATATTTTTGCTTTCCACAAAATATCATCATGTTGTTGTTTTGATTTGCCTTTGCTTCGATTACACTCCAACGCCAATTTCAAGATTCTTTCACTTTTGTTTTAGTTTGCACTGAATCATGAGAATATAATGAAAAAATATTTTGTTGGCTTTGAAGTGGGTTTAAAAAATAATATATAACAAGAAGTAATTGTTGATGAGATCACGTGAAAGATCGAATTAGGTTATTCGGATTATGAGAAAAAAATAGGCTAAACATGTGAAAAATGTTAATTTACGTGGTTGATTTTTTTGGTAGAAATTTACGTGATTGATTAATTAGTCTGATTGAGAAAATATCTTATAATTAATTAATATATAAAAGTCTAGGTTGTGAGTTACTATTCATTAGTGGCTCTCACACTCTTCCAAGTGCAAGTGGGGAAGTTCCAAGCCCTTCTTTTACCCCACTCTCCATTCTACAACTTTTGTTTTTAGTTATTGTTCGCTAGGTTTTCGTCTATGTCTTTTTGCACTAATCATCGCCTTTGTGTTTAGTTATTGTTTGCTAGGTCTTCGTATATGGCTTTTTGCACAAATTATAGCCTTTGGCCACCATTTTGCAGCTCATCTCGAAATACTGTCGGCGGAATCCTAAGTTTTCCACACCAATGTTTCCCAAGGCCGCTACCACGAGTTTGGTATCGGGACCGAGTTTTATCCTCTTGAGTGTTTTTTTCCTTTTTGTTGAGCATGATCACAATTGAACCCAAACACATGGGCTATCCTAACTTGAATACAAATAATCGCCTTTGTCCACCATTTTGCAGCCCATCTCGAAATAATGTCGGCGGAATCCTAAGTTGTTCCCCACCAACGTTTCCCAAGACCGCTAACACGAGTTTTGTATTGGGACCGAGTTTCATCCTCTTTAGTGTTTTTTCTTTCTCTTTTTCCTTTTTATTGAGCATGATCACAATTGAACCCAATGCAGCTACCGAAAATCCATACCATATCTACTCAATGTTGGCGAGTTTAGTATCGAGATCGAGTTTTGTTCGCTTTAGTGTTTTTTTCTTTCACTTTTTCCTTTTTGTTGGGGTCATGAGTGAGTCTTATCCGCTTTAGTATTTTTTTTAACCTTTTCCTTTTAGTTGAGAATGACAATTGAGTCCAAACGCATGGGTATACAACCTAATTCGACCCGACTAAAGCGATTTGAACCCGATGGGGCAATATATATATTAACCTCCTAAATTCATTAATGTGCTTCTACCGTAAAAGTAGTCTATCAGAAGACGATTTTAGGTGTATGAAATGATTGAACCACGGTTGAACTATGATTTCAGTCCACAATACCCTATTGCTAATTTTTCTGATATAATCATCGGAGATGTTTTGGCTCACATTTGCTCAGTCAAAATTTGTTTAGAGATAGATCCGAAACGTGAACAACGGGGAAAGTGAAATTCACTCACTTTATCGGCACAGCGGTACTTCCTACCTCGATAAAACGCAGTAATGAAAGCCATCGCTTCCAAGCAAATCACCTTCCAAGCAAATCACTTTATTAAGAAGCCCAAAAAAAAAAAAAAAAAACGATGTCGGTTTTCAAAATGGATTCGGACACATACTTCATCCGCGACTTCGTCGGCCAGCCCACGGACCTTCAGGTCTACGACTACATGGACCAGCACACCGACTTCGAGATGGTTCGCCACAGCGGCTCGCGTTGGCGCCAGCCGACGATCGTCGGCCTTTCCCCCAGGGCGCAGTTCAAAGCCTTGGAGGTTTTCGGCGTGACGATCGGAGGCGACCAGTTGAAGGAGCTGGTCAAAGATCTGAGCTTCAGCAACTCGGCTGGCGAAGCTTTCCATTTCTGTGTCAACCGTCAGGGCCTCTGCTTCTTGATCGTGTACAGTCAGCCGATCGTGCGGCTGAGGATCAACGACCGTTTCGGTTGGTCGAGGTACGGGGTGAAGCCACAGCTTAGCAGCCGTGCTATATTGTGGAGCATATGTGACATGAGCAACGGCGCCGTTTTGGTCCCGCCGAGTAGCGCGGTGGATCCGCTCGAGGATGGTACGGCTGGTGGGAAATCGGTGATGCACAGCTGTTGGAAGAAGTTGGTGGAGGAGAAGAACAAGGTGATGTTAATTATATTTGAACAAACGTTTCCTTCAATACGGAGAATTAATCTCATTTAAATTTATTTTAAGACTTTCCTTTAGGTTTTACAAAGTACTATTCACATTTTTAAACAGGTGATCGAGGAGAAGGAGAAGCTCATGGAGAAGACGGAGTCGCTGCTGACAAAGTCGCTGGAAGAGAAGGAGAAGGAGGTGGTTTCTCTCAAGGCTGCCTTGGAATCTCTTGGCCGATCCTACTAATTAATATGTTATAAATACATGCATGGATTTTTTTTTTTCTTCTAGCTAGTCTCTATTGATTTCTGTGACCATTATTACGTACTGTTGGTGGTTTATGTTTACTCTATATATATGAATTACTCCGTTTGGGTTATAATTGTCTTTGCGTGAGGATGGTAATCTTGAGTCAATATTTATCCCGCGAGAAAATTTCAGTGGGACAGAATTGATTACATCTTGAATTTTTATCAACCAAATACTGAACATGGCTACCACCTCTTTAACAAATTTCAAACAAGGATGTTTTATGTTTTCTAGAAATTACGAAACAAATTTACATTAAATTAACTCTATGAGGTTCAACGAAAGTTCCAAAACTATGATTATTGCTAAATTAGAAAGAAAAAAAAGGATAACAGAAAAAAAAAAGGTTGACATTATGATTGTGTTGTCTGGTGTAAGTTTGGCAAACCCTTAATCAGTCATCTTCACCTCTTATTTACAGCCACCTTGTAGTTGAAGGTATGTTTGTCTTAACTGTGAAGACAGAAAGCGAAGGACAAATCCAGGGTATACTAGTGAAAGGAGGGGCCTCCATCAAGTGCACATTTAATCTTTGCAGATGATAGTATACCCTGGATTTATTCTACTCTTTCTCCCTCCACTTCTCGATCTCTGCCACAACAAACTCTCATCATCTCTGCTACTAACCAATTTCACTCTTCCAGATCAACCAACTCTCTTTATATTTGTTTCTTGAGACAAGAAAAGGAAGTCATGTACTTGAGACTGGCGTTAAGATTCTTCGAAAAGTATGAACAAAATTTTGCTCTCACTTTACCTCGGGGTGTCACTGATGTTGTTGCTCCATCCACCAATAGCATTCTTGAAAGATTGGTTGTGTAGCTTGTTTGGAGGGATTAAGGAGAGCACATTCAGAGAGGGATTAAGGAGAGCGCATTCAGAGTCCCAACATCACTTCTTCTTCAGTAGTTGAGGTGGTAAATCGCCATGACTAGTCGCCCCAGTATTATTCAAAAACTAACAGAACAACAAGAAGCTACCACTTGACTAACAAGGATCTCATTGAGGGGGAACTACGACATTTGATTTACAACAAGGAAGTTGTTAACAAACATGGTGATCATCATCATTTGCACTATAAACTGAATCCCCAACTGACGAAATTGTTAAATCTAGTTTGTATCTTGCTCCAATTTGGTTCTAGTCAGAGGTGTTATAAGAAAATTACTGTACTTTGGGTCTTTCACGAGATAAACAGAAATTAATAAGAAAAGTTATCTCCCCGAATCCCTAATCTTCTCCTTTCAATCCTGTCTTCTTCCCTAACTTGGCCTTCGACCATTCTTATCTTTTTCTTCCTCAAATCCCAATCTCAATCCCTAATTCCCAAATTCATATTCGTAATCCCTACATTCTCAAATCTACCAAACCCAATAGAAACTTGTTTCTATCAGCAGCCTGCAGGCATGTCATTTTATGTGGGATTGAATGACTTTGAACGATAATATCAACTGAGGTAATGTTTCGTAGGTAGCTCCATCATGGTGTGGTTCAGGTTGCTCCGTATGTAGGATTAACTCCATTATTCGATCCTTCACTAGCTACAAGTTCTTGGTTTATGGTAGCAAGAGGGCTAGTGATGATGATGGGATGGAAAAAGATAGTGGTGCTATGGCCGCTACACCAGAAAAAGGACCACAAATGTTGTACATGCCATGCTCATGAAGGAATGGTCGAACAAACATGTATAGATTCGTAATTTGGTATGATGTTGAACAACCCCTAAACTTTGAAGTTAGCATCATACCAATTGCCAAGCACATGTATAGATTGTGAAAATTAATTTGGTCATAAACCTCAAGTTTATATTATAAAACTATAAAATTGACATGCACACATGTAGATTGTGATTTAATTTCTTTACATACATATATGATTTCTTTTCATATTAAATATATGATTTTTTTTTTTGCATATACAACAGTGCTTGGTAGAGAAATTCACTGTAATCGTATACAGGTATGTCCTCGTATTATAGTATTGTTATGAGATATTGGTGAAAATTAAATTTTCCATGACAAACACAACAAAAAAAAAACATATATTGACGAAAAATTTCGTGTCAGAGAAAAATATATCCATTTTGAAAAAAATTTGCATACCAAGCTTGATTCAGAAGGCATGAAATCCAGAAAAATCCTACATCGTTTAGGGCTTTGCTCGATTCTTCTTCCAGAACATTACCTTTTCTTCCGTAGTTGAGGTGGTAGATTACCATGACGAGTTGCCCCAGTATTATTCTAAAACTAACAAAACAACAAGAAGCTGCCACTTGACTAACAAGGATCTCATTGAGGAGGAAGAAGGTAGGCCTTTGATTTACAACAAGGAAGTTGTTAACAAACATGTTGATAAACATCATTTGCACTATAAACTGAATCCACAACTTTGTCCAGGCGAAATTGCTAAATCTAGCTTGTATCTTGCTCTAATTCGATTCGTGTCATAGGTGTTATAATCTATTTGATGTTACATTCATGCCTTCTTTGATCAGTTTGTGCTCTCAAGTTTGAATGGATGCTTTTCTTGGTACTAATTGTTGCAGTACTTGTCAAACTCAACCCTTCCATACACCAGTGTTGCAAGTACGATTGTCATAAGTTCTACCTCAGGGCTCTTCACGCTTGCATTTGGAGCACTTCTTCGTCGGGTCTCGATAAATGTGGCTAAGAAGGTGGTTTATGTACTGATTAGTATAGCTGGTGTAGCCATGACCATAGTTGGAAAGACTTGGGCAAGAGATGAAGGGGTTGACCTCTCATGAGTATGCTATTTCCTTGTTTCTTTTCGTGTTAAGTTGGCTCTCTTGTTACTTGTCTTCCTAATTAAGTTGGTGCTACTCATTTGACAAGAACCTTATGGTTGTTCTCTTTGATTTTCAAGAACAAGAAAGAAGTCCATTGAGGGGACATACTAGGTCTATTCTCAGCCATATAATATGCCTTGTTCACCTATAAGTTCCAAGAACACGACCAGTTCTAAGTATTCGATTCTTGCACGAAACACATATAATATACATTGAACATTGTGACAATTAAAGAACAGAAAAATGGTTGTTACGAAGCAGTCAATTAACACTTTGCACACTTTTCGATTTCCCTAGTCTGTGATTTGAAGAGGTTCCGTATGTGGGGTTGATTCCATTTCTCGCATCCTTAACTGGCTACAAGTTCTTGGTTTATGGTAGTAAGAGGGCTAGTGATGATGATGGGATGGAAGAAGATAGTGGTGCTCTGGCCGCTACACCAGAAAAGGACGGCAAATGTTGTACATGACATGCTCATGATGGAATGACCAAACAATTATGTATAGATTTGTAATTTGGTATGATGTTGAACAACCCCTAAACTTTGAGGTTAGCATCATACCAATGCCAGACACATGTACAGACTGTGAAATTAAATTTGGTCATAAACCTCAAGTTTATATTCTAAAACGGTAAAATTGACATGGACACATGTAGATTGTGATTTCTTTTCATACACACATGATTTCTTTTCGTATGAAATATATGATTTTTTTTTCATATACAATAGTGCTTAGTAGAGAAATTCATTATGCTCATATGAATGTATATCCTCATAATATAGTATTGTTATGAGATATTGGTGAAAATTAAATTTTCCATGATAAACAAAACAAAAAAAGAAACCTATATCGAACAAATGCACACCAAGATTGGTTCCAAAGGCATGAAAATCCAGAAAATAAGAATAGATAACTGGGGAATCGGTGTGTACAGATGCTACATTTACTAGCTTGTTAGCAACGTAGTGGTTCTTCAGTGGATTTTCCTCCACATCCTTGAGGCCTTGCTCGATTCTTCTTCCAGAACTAACCACCAGATTCCAACCAATGTAGGATTTTTTAGGATCTTTAGCCAAACAACTCCTAAAGAAAGTAAGAAGAATTGTCTACGAACAAGAAACCCAAAAGCCATATAGCCAAAAAAAATATCATCGCTCATCAATGGCAAAGCAAAAATCGAACGTTAACACAAAGTGGAAATACCCATAAGAATTGAACAAGAAAAGTAGCAAGAGTGAGCTTTGCTTCGATCAATTTCAATACAGAGAAGAACGCCCCTTCTCTTCTCTTCGCTCTCTGTCCTTCTTTACAATCATTCTCTGCTCTCAATCAACAGAACAAAGATGAATTCAAATATCATTTCTTATAGACTGAATGACATCTACAAGTGAAAGGATCTTAAAAGCTCAAAGTGAATAGATTAATTGGCATATGTGACAATGAGAAATCCATTGTAAATCATTTTTTACAGGTTATACAGCAAAGCAACTTCAAATGTACATAACAGAACTACACAATAATTAATGGTACCTGAACAATAAAGGCGAATGTGTTGTGATTGTACATGGGCGTTGAGTTGTGTTTGGGCCGGCACGGTACGGACACGCTTCGGGCCCATTTATTTCGTGCCGTGCTTGGCACGGCCCTTCAGTTTTTTCGTGTCGTGCCATGCAAGCCCATTTGTTAACTTTGCTAAGCTCGGCCCAGGTCCGGGCACGGTTCGAATCGTGCCGTGCCTATTCGTGCTCGTGCCATGCTCGTATACGTGTTTAATGAAAAGGACGAAAATAAAAGAGAGAATGAAAAAGAAAGTGAAAATTGGACGAAGGAAGATAGTATTAATCAAATTGTATTTAATTGTAAAGAGAGAGCATAATTGAGCTCATCAACTTAATAAAGAAAGTAGAAAACCCTTAAATGATAATTAAACTGATCCTTATGATAAATTATCTGACACTAACACCAGCACAAAAACAAATGAAAGGAGACATTTCCAAGGAGATACAGGCCGAAGCAACTCAAGCGAGGTGTGTTGACTTTTCTTTAATGGGCCTAGAATGCAACAATAAGCCTACCCAGCTTATGACCCATACATTGTGTAACCGAGAGTGGAGACATGGCAATTTACGGGCCCAATTTCAGTCATCACGTTCTCTTTCTGAATTGTACATTACGTGCCTCAATAGATTAACCACTTAATTAACATTAGGTACTTGCAAATGTTATTTCCTTTTTTAGAACAAACCTAGCTAATCAAATTCTATT